AAGAAGGAGACGAGGAGGCCGCTTAAAAGGGACAATGTAATCAGAAATACAAACAAAAAATAAATCAAACTTAAATTTCAAACAGTTCTCAGCGTTATCTTCAGGTTAACGTTTCCTTATAGTTTTACTTTTTTCCATGACAATTAAGCTCCTAGACACATTTCGTTTATTAGCCAAAGAGTTCGCTAATTTGTCCCAGTTAACATCTTTTCACGTTTGAATTTAAACTAAAATTAAATTTCTTATCTTTATAAATACAAACTTACAGATTGGTGATACGTCTTTACAATCTACAGTAGCTGCAGTTTAATTTTCAAAGTAACACCTTTTAGTATAGTTCTATCCACCTTTTACGATTCCTAGCACATTTTTTATTTGTAAAAAGTCTTCTCGAGCAGCTTCAAATAAAATCACCCTTTGAAACGTGATAATTTTTTGAAAACTTTGGGGGATGGAGAGCGTATTATATAGAATTTGTAATCTATATTGCTCAGGGGGTAAAATACCTTATGATCAGTACCGCTAGCACAAGGACCAAGGCATGGCGAAATGTACGTTAGCGAATTACTCACTTTTGTAAATCGATATAGTCGGTCACAACTTTCCAAACATTATCACCCACATGAGAAGTTATTGTTATGTTTGGTTCAAGACATGTGTATTAATACTCAGTGAGCCCTGAGTTCACATTTTATTCACGGACTATTCACAATTGAAGGTGTATCAGAAAGAAGTGTTTTTATGTCATAAAGTCTCTCTTACACATTCAAAATGTATACTTAATAACTTTCCCGGATCCTCTTTTGTCGACTGAAAAATCCAGCCCCTCTCTAAAAATAACATCGACACTCAACGGATGGTCAACTAGTTGACTTTTACAGGGGCAAAACAAGTCCAAGAGTGCCTTCAATTTTTGACCAATTTCTTGCCTCTAACGCAATCACACACGCACATTAGCGTGTTTGTTGAAAATGTTTCTCTGATGAGGGCGCTGTCTTTAATTTTTGGCTGTACAACGGTCAATTCCCGAAAAATATGTTAAATTTAGTCCTATCACTGAAAGAGAAACCTCCTCTGGGTCTGAAAGTTTTATCATGACATGCAGAGCCACCGGAGCTAATTGAACAATGAAATCGTCGTAACGAAGAAGAGTATGGTATGGCTAAAATTAAACTAAACTTGAAGAAATCATACCCGTATCGTTCAGTCAATCAATATTCACGAAGCACGCAAAAACTAGAATCGAACGTCAGTTAGACGGTACGACCATCGAGCAAAGTCAATAAATATTTGCCTTGTCCTTTATGAGTTGTCAAACCGTGACGTCAAGCAACAAGCCTTTCACGGATCACTGATGACTATTCATTTCTTTTGGAAACGTTACCTATTCGTAATCACCACAGCTAGCTGATTGTTGCTTTGGTGACAAAATATTTACCCGCATCTTTGACAACTTGTGACTGTTCACCGCCCCAGGACCGACCCCTGAGAAATTTCCATGGTTCCCTGTATTTAACAACTATTAGTTACACATGACATACTGGTAAGGAGCCATCTACATATTGCTTGTCAATGCGGATTAATAATGTTCTCTCGTAATACTGACATGCTCTATAAAATCAGTATCTTAAAATATAAAACCTTTCAGCTTGCCTCTCTCCATGTACCATTAACTAAAATAAAAATAAAGTTGCATTTTTTGGTCAAATACAAGTAAGGAGTTAAAAGTATCAAACAGGTGGCATCAAATGCACTACTTTTCTCCGCGGACTCTTTAGTGAAACGATTCAGCTACAAACACCATACCGTATATCGTTGGCGAATAAGGGCGAAGGTAGTGAGCGAAGTGCGGCTCTTCGATCTTTGGCAGTGAACGAGGGTTGCACTCCTCTTAGACTTGGTGCTTTTTATAATTACCTCAGTCATAAATTCCATATCAACAAAATGCGTGAAATTGTGCATCTGCAAGCCGGCCAGTGTGGCAACCAGATCGGTGCTAAGGTAAGCGAGGCACAAAGGTTGAAAGGATACGTAGGCCTACTGTTTAGTGTTACACCCCAACTAGACCCCGCTCCTTCCTCCATGGTCCCAGTAACTTGGACCCTAAAATCGCCCTTTTTAAACATTTGGCATTGGTCGGCGCCTACTATCGCCGCCCATGTCCAAATGTTTTAACCAAATGAAAAGAGGCATTTTCTGATAGTGAGACACTAGTTGAATGCACAACCATCAATGATGTTGATTCCAGCCCAATGTTACATGGGGGCCTACTTTTCAAGCTCGCCCCTCGATGACTGTTTCATAGCTCAGTGAGGGACTGTGGTTGTGTTTGATGTCGATGTTCAGTATTCGAATTTGCAAAGCAAACATGGGGCTCCGCTAAGCAATGAAACAGCCATATTTTTGCGTGTCCAGAACGTGCTTTTTTGTTTGTTTGTTTTGTTTTTATTTCTCACTCTTGTGGCCTGAGGCCAAATTACAGTGAAAAATCACACCTGATTTGAAGTAAAAATTACATTACAAATCTTTACAAAAGCAAAATCCATTGACAAACATGACAAAAGTATAAGCCATTAAGAAAAACACACTACATTGCATGAACATCTGAACTGAGTTATTAAAACTGAGGAACACTTAAAAAAAAAAAATAGGTAGGCCCTAGTTCCTTAAAAAGAAACTTAAAATAGACATGCTTTGAAACGTCCATTTTAGAACACCATAAACATGGATAAAGCAGATACTTAGGATAAGGCATTGGAAGATGGTCGGGGTAAGGAGTTGAAAGTTACCCCCACCCCTTTGAATCCAAAAGTAGGAAATAACTGTTTAAAAATTCAACATATAGGATTCCAATTCCATTATGATACCCGTTTGGACACGGGCACAAAATGACCTTTTGATTGTTTGCTAAATTCATTTGAAATCTCGTCATGTAACAACATGTACATACATGCAACAAGTTGTGTCGATGTAAACATCTGTGAACTATGTGGTGGCACACAAACTGATGTGGAACTTAGTTGTTACTTGTCCTTGTATATTTTTAAAAATGTTATAAGTACCACAAAATGTTTGTTTCTTGAAATAGTTCTGGGAAGTCATTTCTGATGAGCATGGCATCGACCCAACTGGCACATACCATGGTGACTCCGACTTGCAGTTGGAGAGAATCAACGTTTACTACAATGAAGCTACCGGAGGGAAATATGTACCCCGAGCTGTACTGGTCGACCTGGAGCCAGGCACCATGGACTCTGTCCGCTCTGGTCCATTCGGTCAGATCTTCAGACCCGACAACTTTGTCTTCGGACAGAGTGGAGCTGGGAACAACTGGGCCAAGGGTCACTACACCGAGGGGGCTGAGTTGGTAGACTCTGTACTGGACATGGTCCGCAAAGAAGCAGAGAGCTGTGATTGCCTCCAGGTAATATGACCAAGATGAAATTTACGTTGAAGTTCATGATTTAACATTTGATGGCACAGAATAGGGCTGAGTCAATTCGTATAATTCACCAACAGAATATTCAGCCTTCAATTTGATAGATTATCTGGACATTTGGTTGTACTAAACGGAAGATTGTCAACGAACAAACCAGAAACAAAAATCAGGTGCTGTAATGCACACAATTGTATGTTATATTCACTGTAATAGCTTCTCAAGGTTTAAGAAATGGACTATACTTCTTGTCCTGTTGAAAATATCTATTCCTTTGAAATTTTGGGTTGAACAATTTCCTCTTTGAATCGTAAGACTTCAGTTGCTTTTCATTTGAATCTGCTTGATATGAGCCTCCATAGTGCAATTTTTCTCAATTAAAACAAAAGAAAACTCTCCCTTTCATGAAATTTGTATTTGAATATGCAACTTCTGAAAATTTGAATATTCAGTACTCGATCCAATATTCGGCACAGCCTTAGCATAGAATAGGAAGGGTATAGATTATGTGGGGTAACTTACCTTTTAAATTCTGATTAATGAATTTGCAGGGATTCCAATTGACACAATCCCTTGGGGGCGGCACTGGCTCAGGCATGGGAACACTTCTCATCAGCAAGATCCGTGAGGAGTACCCAGACCGGATGATGTGCACCTTCAGTGTTGTCCCCTCTCCGAAGGTGTCAGATACCGTGGTGGAGCCGTACAATGCCACCCTGTCTGTGCACCAGCTTGTAGAAAATACAGACGAGACCTACTGCATCGACAATGAAGCTCTTTATGACATCTGTTTCCGCACCCTGAAGTTGACCACCCCAACCTATGGCGATCTCAACCACCTTGTGTCTGCTACCATGAGTGGCGTTACCACCTGCCTGAGGTTCCCTGGTCAACTCAATGCCGATCTTCGCAAGCTGGCTGTCAATATGGTGCCTTTCCCTCGTCTCCACTTCTTCATGCCTGGATTTGCTCCCCTGACCAGCAGAGGCAGCCAGCAGTACCGTGCCTTGACCGTTCCCGAGCTGACTCAGCAGATGTTCGATGCCAAGAACATGATGGCTGCATGTGACCCTCGTCATGGCCGCTACCTGACCGTTGCAGCTTTGTTCCGTGGCCGTATGTCCATGAAGGAGGTTGATGAGCAGATGCTGAACGTGCAGAACAAGAACAGCAGCTACTTCGTGGAATGGATCCCCAACAACGTCAAGACTGCTGTCTGCGACATCCCACCACGAGGCCTCAAGATGTCTGTCACCTTCGTCGGTAACAGCACCGCCATCCAGGAGCTGTTCAAGCGCATCTCTGAGCAGTTTACCGCTATGTTCAGGCGCAAGGCTTTCCTGCATTGGTACACCGGCGAGGGTATGGATGAGATGGAGTTCACTGAGGCTGAGAGCAACATGAACGACTTGGTGTCTGAGTACCAGCAGTACCAGGACGCAACGGCTGAGGAGGAAGGCGAGTTCGATGAGGAAGAGGAGGGAGAAGAGGAAAATTAATTTGTCAGTACAAATCAAAATATGTTCAGAGAAGTGGTGCATGTAGTGGATAAGCACAACTCAAAGCGTTAGTCGCTGAAACTCCTTTGTCGTCAATTGCAAAAAAGTTATGGATCCAGCGATTTATATCTTAGAGTATTAGAAAAATCAGCCTCTTTAAGAAATTCAGCTTCATGCTACCCTTGAACATCATTGTTTGAAATTCAAAATTATTCATAAATGTCCAACTTAAAAGTAGAGACGTTATATTTTCAAATGTAACTAGAATATAAAGTATAATCTATAATTTTAAACCTCATAGACTAAGTTTGATGTTTGGCTCCTGTGAATACACATTGATAGACTCCTCTTTCTAGTGCGGGGTTAGGAAATATTTATTCCCAAGCGACACCAAACAACATACACCTGCAGTAATCAAGTGTGCAGCTTTTTCTTGACATTATCATTGAATAAATACGGGTTTGTAATGTTAACATTCTGTACTTGTTGGTTCTGTTCTCATATTATTAAAAATATATCCTCTGTCAGAGACCTTATTTTTTTTACAGTGCCCTTATTGTGGATGGTTGGAGAACTGTAAACTGTTACATATATTTTTTAGATAAACACTTATACATGTAATTCATAAATATGTTTGGCGCAATATCAAATGTGGTGATTTTGAAGTCTAGTGGTTCTCTATTTCAACTAATCAGAATTATGCTACAGATTTAACTTTGTGAGATGAGACCGTAATAAAAGATGTCCCAAGGTAACTCGATTACGTGTACTTGCTTACACCATTTTGTTCCAAAGTTTGCTTTCAAATGTACATAAAATTTTGTACAAGGCAATTGTGCGTTCTCGGAATTTGAAGAAGCTTCCCCCTCAAAAACGTGTAAATTATTCTTAATTGGCGCCTGACGCTTGCCATTTTGGGTCACCTTTTTCAGTCTCGCGGAACGACAAAATGGCCCCATTACATGAAGGTGACCTTGAAGGTGGGTGTTTGGTCAGCCTTATTAACACCAAATTTAGTTTTTGGGACAAAAAAGTTGTGTTTAATTTTGTTTTCTTCCGGTGGACTTTGTGTTGGTGGTTAATTTGTTTTGAGTATTTTTCAACCACAGCTGCCTTTTTGGCAGCTTTCAAACAACGAATTATGAATATGAAAGCATGGCCCTGAGAAATATGGAAGGGCTACGTAGCACTGTGATCAGAATATTGACGAGAATATAATATAAAACCAGTGTTCTGGAATATGTGAATTCTGAGCTTTCGGTAACCGAGTACCTTCTTCGGGGCAAGCAGATTCAGTTCACATGGCCCTGTTCGTTTTGCTGCCCCTTCCTTGGAAGGATTAGAGCTATTCCCGGCCCCCTTAACTTACCGACCCTCGTCGGTGCAAAGTCACATGACACAGATAATCCAGCCCTTGTAGGGTCCGGTCACACATAATCATGATATTATTATGTTTTATATTATTTTTTTCATATTGTGACCACACAAATTAGCCAATCAGAGCAAAGATTGCGTCGAGTGACGCGTACTGTTTAATGTTTTCTAGAAAACGCACGCGCCTGCAGCATTGAAGTGGACCTTTTCACCGCCACTGTCATTGGAAAACAACTAACTGGCTCTCATCGAACATTAAGGAATATTAATTACGTGGTGTTGTTATTGCAACCAGTCGACCACCCGTTTGCAGTGCGGAAGAATAAATTGATAAGGTAAACAATAATTAGAAATATTTTGGTCTTGTTAATCATAAACAAAATTTACTCATTTAGCAAAACATGGCAAGATCACTTATAGCTGTAAAACGTTTTATCAAGTACTCAGACGCCAACTTTAATGGAAATTATTAAGAATAGTAGTTCCCCTACGTCATATTACGCGGACGAATACATAATAGTTTTGAAAATATTTGCCGCTAGAACGCGTCACATAACATTCGACAAATCAGCGCATTGGGCGGGAGTAAGCCAGGAGAAAAATTCCGAAGAGTTTTTGCAAATTTCCGAATTCATTTAAAATCCAACACCACAAAATGCGTGAGATCGTTCACATCCAAGCGGGCCAGTGCGGCAACCAGATCGGAGCCAAGGTAATCACATCAATCATGACGTTTTGCAAGGGTTTCATTTGCTACATTACTTAGGCCAAGAAGCCTACATGCGAGGGGTTGGATGTTACACATGCAGTAGGCCTAGGCACGCCATGGTAGGCCTTGGGCCTATCGCATCAGAATTTGTTGTTCAATTCTCCGAGGAGGCGAGCGGGGGATTCGGAAATTTTGGAAGCCTTTGTCACAGGGTCTAAGCCAGTCACATAGGCATAATTTAAATCCGGGGGGGTGTCTAGGGCCAGTATCCCCCACTTTTTGGGATGGAGGGACTAGGCCTAAACATTATTTATTCTTGAATCATCCCCCGTTTTTGTTGTGAGCAAAACAAAACAAAAAAAAACTGATTGTGAAGAATTTGTTAGACTTCCAACGATTAAAATGAATTCAGTACCAGGCCCTAGCCATGCTAGCTATCACTCAAAATGGAAAACCAATTTTAAAAAGCTGCGTAGCATAGACCTAGGCCATTTTGAATAGGGGGCCTAGGCCTATATTACAAACAGCCTGCGTCAATAGGCCTAGGCCTATCATCATAGGGATGCTCATAAATTTTGCAGCTAGACCTATTTTTTATTTTTTTTACGTGATCTTGGGGAGGATGTCATGAGAAACGTTTTGCTAAGTTTGGATTCCATTGGTCTCTGCAAAGCAAAGAAATATTGATTTAAACTAGGGATAGTTTGAGATGTTTTTGAGACATTTGTGTACATGTCTGATGCAGATTTGTTATTTGAATGAATTAAATGTTGGCTTCACTTCAAAGTTCAAAATATTTGAAATTTAAAATCAGATAGAGGAGCCAGAGCACGTGGAAAAAGTCAAATTTGATTTGAATCACAATTTTATATTTGAGAAAATGATTTCCCAAATGAGCAGTGCCCGCACTTATTTTTGCATGTCCCTACCTATCATGAACATTGACCTCTAATGTTATATAGAGTCATATGGTGTTAACCCCACCCCTTCACATTTTCATGGTCGGGCAAGCCTTTCCCCCACCTTTCCCATGCCCCCAATATGGACATTTCACAGTAGCATGCCTCCAAGAGTTTGCAACACGTTGGCCAATCACAGTGCACGAAATCTATCTACCCGATGCGCATTTGGAAAAGGTTGATGGATTTTGCACATTGTAATTCGCCAATGCGTTTCAAACTCTTGGTGGCACACTATGGTGAATCACCTGTATTTTCGGCACAAATTTATACCACTGGTCAGTCACATTTGGTTTTCAAAAGGTTGATAACCATGTCCATGCTCTATGTAACCTACCAATTTTTACATTCCAGGAAAAACGCTCAAATGAGTCGTGTAAACATTGGTGTAGCCTATGGCTAACAACAATCTGTTTTTCTTCCAAATTAAAGTTAGCCAATAATTTCCCCAAACTCCACAAAAACCAGGCCTACTTTCACAAAAATAGTGTCTTTCCGAGACCTGCCTTGTTCAACAAGATGTTTCTGAGTGAGAATTTTTTGTTTTGAAGGTTAGACTATTTCTCAATTTATGGAGTACTGTGGACTTTGTGTACATTTGCCAACTAATTTTTATGGAAGGTCTGTCATTGAAACTTTCTATTTGAGGCCTAGACCACCTTTATTTTAATAGGTCTTATATTTCTTCCCAAACAAATAAAACAAAAAATTTGAATTCACATGGCGTACATACTGTATAGTCAAAGGTGTATGATGCCAACCTGGTTCTTTCAAAGACCTTCAAACTGATCAGGAATACATGTAATTTGACTTTTTGCAGTTCTGGGAAGTCATTTCTGATGAGCATGGCATCGACCCAACCGGCACATACCATGGTGACTCCGACTTGCAGTTGGAGAGAATCAATGTTTACTACAATGAAGCCACCGGAGGCAAATATGTACCCCGAGCCGTACTGGTCGACCTGGAGCCAGGCACCATGGACTCTGTCCGCTCTGGTCCATTCGGTCAGATCTTCAGACCCGACAACTTTGTCTTTGGACAGAGTGGAGCTGGGAACAACTGGGCCAAGGGTCACTACACCGAGGGGGCTGAGCTGGTAGATTCCGTACTGGATGTTGTGCGGAAGGAAGCAGAGAGCTGTGATTGTCTACAGGTTAATAGCCAGCTTAAGTCATTTAAATTTGGCTGTTCTTTACTTTAAAAATGTTGGATAAGTTGTCGAGAAAAGGAATAAAATTGGCCTCCCTTACTTTTTTTGGCAGGGATTCCAACTGACGCATTCCCTTGGCGGCGGCACTGGCTCAGGCATGGGAACACTTCTCATCAGCAAGATCCGTGAGGAGTACCCAGACCGCATCATGAATACCTTCAGTGTTGTCCCCTCCCCCAAGGTGTCAGACACCGTGGTGGAGCCATACAATGCGACACTGTCTGTCCACCAGCTTGTAGAAAACACAGACGAGACCTACTGCATCGACAATGAAGCCCTGTATGACATCTGTTTCCGCACCCTGAAGTTGACAACCCCAACCTACGGCGATCTCAACCACCTTGTGTCTGCTACCATGAGTGGTGTTACCACCTGCCTGAGATTCCCTGGTCAACTCAATGCCGACCTTCGCAAGCTGGCTGTCAATATGGTGCCTTTCCCTCGTCTCCACTTCTTCATGCCTGGCTTTGCTCCCCTGACCAGCAGAGGCAGCCAGCAGTACCGTGCCCTGACCGTTCCCGAGCTGACCCAGCAGATGTTCGATGCCAAGAACATGATGGCTGCATGCGACCCTCGTCATGGCCGCTACTTGACCGTTGCAGCTATGTTCCGTGGCCGTATGTCCATGAAGGAAGTTGATGAGCAGATGCTGAACGTGCAGAACAAGAACAGCAGCTACTTCGTGGAATGGATCCCCAACAATGTCAAGACCGCTGTCTGCGACATCCCGCCACGAGGCCTCAAGATGTCCGTTACCTTCATCGGCAACAGCACAGCCATCCAGGAGCTGTTCAAGCGCATCTCTGAGCAGTTCACCGCTATGTTCAGGCGCAAGGCTTTCCTGCATTGGTACACCGGCGAGGGTATGGATGAGATGGAGTTCACTGAGGCTGAGAGCAACATGAACGACTTGGTGTCTGAGTACCAGCAGTACCAGGATGCAACGGCTGAGGAGGAAGGCGAGTTTGATGAGGAAGAGGAAGAAGGCGACCAAGAGCAATAATCATCAGAAGTGACGTGAACCCATATGGAACCCACCAAGCACCGGCATAACTACACCAGTTCAGGACTAAACCTGTCCATCTGTACGTTCGTGGTAAAGGAAAACTGGACAGCTTTAGTGTGCCTGAACTTTGTTGCTGCAGAAAAAAAATCCAAACTTCACTTAGAGACAGGGTAAACCATTCCTCAAACAAATGGACGTCCACTTTCAGCCACAGTAATTCTCAATGTACAGGTTTTGGTTTAAGTTGAAAAATACAGAAACCACTTTTACTTTCTTTCATTCCAATAACCGCATTGTGTATGTCCTGTGGTACCGTTTACAGTCATTGTGTTTGTACCTGTAACAAGTTCCAAAGAATTTCAAGACAATAAAACAGGAAGTGAAGACAAACTCAGCATGAATTGTTGACTAATCTTTTTGTAAGTTCGATGCATGTACATGTATTTTTAATTTGTAAACGTTACAGGAAATACATATCACCTGACAACAGCAATTCCAGACAGGAAAACTACCTTACAGTTTTGACCTGAGAAGTACGATATTCTCAAACTGACTATTTTCACAAATCAGAAAAATTCAGACATGTTTTTAACACCATTCAAAAATTTCAATGTCGAAATTTTTTTATTAATAAAGAAATGAAAAACATTATAAATGAGCATGACTGATTTGTACAGTACAAATCAGAACAGGTTTAAAACGTTAAGATTAAGGACTTTTATGGGTATGTGGACCTAATGTGAACTGCGAGCCGTCATATTGCATGTATAATGGAAAATAGAGACAAATGGAAAGTTTGGTATGATAAACACATGTTAATTCCATTGATTTTGAAATGGCACAAAGATATCAATGAAGCTGCATATTCATGGCTGCAAAGCCAATGTAAGAATAATAAAAAAAACCAGTATCTTGGAAAAAGGTTCCCCCACATCTGAAATTTGTCATCATAAAAGGGAAAAACATGGTCTCAATTAATTGTTACAACAGTGCAGTTATATTGGTTGGTTGTGTAGGCTCTGCAGTAGGGACCACAGCAAACTGAATAGCATGGAACAAAGATCCCAAAATACAAGCAATGATGAGCCTATCTGGGCTGTGAAATGTACGAAGCAATATTCTGCCACAGGTAATCCAAGTGAACAGGTAATCCTGGTGAACTGTTAACCAACGCTATGCAATTTTGCCTGGCCAAGCTAGGATTAACAAAATCCCTACTGAATTACATGTAAATTTAATAACGGACAAATCTAAAATTATTCAAGAGTTTGGAGAACAATGTGAGCTCTACAGAACAACATAAACCACTGTGAACTCAACTCTTGATAGATTGAGGGCCATGTAAGGGTAACCCCAACATCCCACGGTCAAACACAAACTTGTAACTTAATCAAATGTCACTGCATCAATAAATCTCATCATGCAATCACTGTATGGTACAAGAAATCTCATTTGCATCCACAAGTGAAGAAAACACAGCTGGTGATGATCTGGACTTGTTGAACATCTACAGCTAATGTTGTCCTCGCTTGACATCATCTGAAGTTAGCGGCTAGGAGCTCAGGATGTCCAGACTATTAATCCTTCTTCTGTTCTTTTTCTGCCACAAACAAGTACAAACAATATACATTAAATCACTGCTTTCACAAAGTTCATCTGTACTCGTGTGTCCTTACAAATTTAAAAACACAAATCATGTTGATTCAGTTGTCATTTTTCACATTCAGTGGAAGATGACACTTACTGGGTGCACCATTTTCCCAGTGTGTGATACGCATCACTGTCTCCTCTACCTTCAGGGCTTCTGTCCTGTGTTCAGGCTTCAGGGCTCGCCTCAATAGTCGTGCACAAAGTGCCGAATATTGGATATAACTACAAGAAATAAAATTTTGGATCACTGCTATGGCAACACTCAGCCACTGTAAAAACACAAAACTGACAGATGTCTACGTTGTCTTCATAAATAGCCTCCAAAATGCCCACAGCAGCTTTACATGCATTCACGTCAGGAATCGCAGCCTTTTAAAAGTTTTTGTGGTTCCTACCCGATGGAATTCATCCATAAAGTGCCAATATGGCATTTCATCCTTTCTGATATTATAACCAACCCAGAGAAAAATTGCTGATGTCAGTGTATGGAACTCTTTCCAAAATTGAAGTCTGCAATTCCCCCAAATACATGATGACTGGCCTTTTTATTTCGACTTTGGGCCTGCTTGTTTCACAGGACATGCTTGAACGTATGAACACGATGAATCTGGATCTAATGAATCAGCACAGAGTTTGCATGCTGGTTTGCTCCATCCATTTTACATATAGTATACAGGCTAGAGACTTTCTGAGAATGGCCTATGCTTCTAGTTGTATTCCAAATAATTTTCCTATTAATATTACCTCATCCCAGCTTGACGCCACGCAGCAACCATTGCTGAATAAATCTGTCGGTGATTTGATCTTCCAAATACCAAAAAATGGATAAACTCAACGGGAAAAGTTAAGAAACCGACTTCGGAACCGGCAGAAACGGAGCAGAGGTCATTGAGGACGCCCTCTGTCGTCGAGCCGAATCTCGAACAACAGAGGGCGCGAATAAGCTCGCCAAAAAACTAAACTGTTAAAACAGTCTGATAAATCAGCATAAACTCGAGACTCGCGAAGTCACTCGTAGACTAGCTTGGCAAGAGTTATGACGTGAAGATTATTATTGCTGCGAAGATGGACTCGGATTCAAAGGGTAAATGAGTTAAGTTGATCATTACTGTGACGTTCAGTGACGTTGTTGAACTTGAACCATGCATCCTAGTACGATTACGACTCGTCAGTGAGTTCGACCACCATGTTTACATTCTGATTCTGTGCTGGTCGAGTTCGCGGTGTTTAGCAAACTGTTCCTGTAATTAAGGAAACGAAGTCTTCTTTTTTAAACTAACTGACTTTCAGACCTTGAGGATCCATTCCTTAAGTTAATCCTAGTAGCTCTAGTTTAGGTAAATATTGAAAATATTTAAACAAGAAAGCCAGAATTTTGTTACCTGAGTTCGGCGAAAGACGACTGCATCACGCCATTTTGTTTGACATCTGGTTACCCAACCTAGCGATTTTGTACTTTCTGAAGGGTAAGGTACTACTCCATAGGCCGCCGCCTTACTCATGTTACTGGGATTGCAGGGGAACTTTTCAAATGCCACAGCGTACGGAACCATCAAAAAGATGGACCCAGTCATGCCAGTAAGGCCTACAAAACCCTTCATCCAGGCTAAGGAACCACTAATTCATTCACAAATTCGTCTTTGTTCTTAGCTCTTCATCGTGTCATTTACACGGCCATTTTACCCCATAATTTCCCTCGAAAACCAAAGCCCTTTTTTTTTTCTTTCTGATATGAAAGAGGAAATCACTGTCAACTTATCTAGGTAATTGTTTTGAAAAGGTAGATTTTGTTTCCTAATTATAGGAACAGGGTACTAAAGGTGTAAATGAACACCAAGTTCTCACCCATGGAATGGTACATCGCCTCTGCTAAATAGGCGTGCTTGAGAAATCATGGAAGTAGGGCACAGTTCCCCCTACCCACAGTTTCTATTATATCTTGGTCTGGTACCCATGATGCTTCAAAGTTTGACCCCTAATTCTCATGACATCCATGACATCGTGAAATTTGCAATGAGGGGGTTGTCCCAGCCTGTCATTTATCTCTAGGCTTATGTCATCTTGTATCACAATCACATTCATTGGATGTATCATAAAATATGTCAGCTGAACTTTCTGTAAAACTGCTGTTAATGTTTCACCCTATCAAACTTCAATCTTCTTTTAACCATATTTACACGTCAATTTTTGATAATTTTCCAATTTTTTTTCCATGTTAGTAAAGAGGTCTGGTCATCTGATCATATTTTGAGTCTATCCACTGTTTATCCCTAGAACTATGGTTCTTGGACAAGGCACTTGCTGCTTTTAAAAGATTGAAAATAAGCCCACTAAATTCTGAGCTTAGACCCTATATCCACCGTCGTCAAATATGTTGATATGGTATTAAATGTTCACATTTCAGTGGAAAGAAATTGTAGAGTTAACAGAGTGGAGCCTGAAACAATCGTAGAAACTGATGGAAAACAGGATTTATGATAAAATATCAAAATGTACACCATTTTGTGAACTTTCTTATTTCTTAGCCTGAACTTTCTTTCTTAATTCTTAACAGTACCAGATCATGAAGATGTTCCACTACCTGAGCAGATCACACAGACCTTTGAATCATCCACTGCAGTTATCAAGTTTAGCGGCACATGCCTTGGGTCAGACTCTGAAAGCTTCTCGTCAGAAAGCGACGAAGAGCGAGTCAAAACTGCTGATCACAGGGAATGCTTCCCCGACCCAAGCCAACAGGAGAATCCCCAATCAGATGGAAGATTACAGTCGACACCAACGCCATCAGCTAATTGGACGGAGGAGAGCTGGAGAAGTGACTCAGGCTTCAACAGCGACACGGCGACAGCTCAAGGACAGAGACATCATGAAGACCATGGGGAATCGGAAACGAGACAGGCATGCACGGATGGTGTGAAGCCTGAAGATAGGGAACATTATCCCAGTGAGACAAGACCAACAGAAATGACAGTTCCGGAAGTAGCTTTAGATACTGGCAGCGCCCCCAAAGCACCTGCCCAGATGATACAAGGAAATTCACTACCCTCCTCTCCGGAAAATTTTGCCAAAGAGAACGCATCGCCATTGCTAACGGAAAGAAGCAGCAGGGACCGAACTGCACACCGAGAGAGGTTTAATCCATTCAACAGGGTACCCTTCATCCACGATGACCACTTTGACAACATGGCTAGTTTTCCCTCTGTCTCTGGTACATCTTTCTCAGGAGACAGAGATGACTTTGGTAAGTTTACCAGTAGCTTTAAAAGTCACCGTTTTCTTGGATTTTATCATTTCAATGCAATGCTTTGTGTTTGTATGTTACTGTACATATGGAAGCACAAGTAGCAAGCTGAATGATGAATCTAAGAAATGTGCACAATTCAAAATATGCTATTGTTGAGATTTATGAGGATGCCTCTTACATATTCACTTCTTTAAATGTTGCAGTTTTTATCACTTTTTCACAAGAATTAGCCATGTTTGCTTATTACCACAGATGCATGTTCAGGGTTAAATTAATTTGTTCTGTCATGCAAGTCTCTAGTCATAAATGTACATGTTTCTAAAATATTGCTCGTTCAAAGACTAGTCTTCTTTCCAGTTCCCACTTCCAATGAATTTCTGTGAACAGGACTCTGTCCTTGGTTTTGTTTTGTCGTTAATTCCAAATAGCATTTGCCTCTTCATGCTGGTTGCTGGTTGTTGCTGCTGACAATGCAGTTAGCTGTAATAAAAGTTAATAACCATCCGTTCTTTCTCATTCTTGGTCCAAAAAATTACCTGGTAGGAAAAAACAATGTATAATCTGTGCTGTCAAGATAAATGAATAGTGCCTCCCGGAGCCTTGAAGGAGCACTTTTAGTGCAAAACTGAGTCAATTCATGTACATGTATGTATTCAATTGGAAAGGCACATGAGTGTGATCAACTACATGTAGATGTCTGAAAGGGTGTTGACCTTCCACAAATCCAGGCCTGCCAACCTAGCCGTACTCCTTCCTAAGGTCAGGCATTACCACACAAAAGATTCAAAATCTAAATGAACTCAAGGCTCATTCAAATACATATACTTTTTAATCTATTGTGCGGTAATGCCTGACCTCAGGAAGGAGTACGGCTAGGTCGGCTGGTCTGCAAATCACATAAAAATACATTCAGCTGCGCTACCAGTGTAGCCAATTGATTTACTTTGTCAGTCTGGAATGAATAGGCTGTTGGCTAATCGGGGGTGTATAGGCTGAGTACCCTGAGGGCTTTATTGTTTTGTGATCTGGGTAACATGTATTCAAGTTGGGTGACTTGAAATACTTTTATTCATTATTATAACCAAAGCAAAAATTCTGATTAAAACTTAAATTTCAACTCTGGCCTTCGGGCAATATTATCCCAGCTAATAAAACACTGGTGCACTATTTCCTGAGAGCTTCCATTGGTTTATTCAAGGGTTTCCAAGACTATTCCAATTAACAAAATTTAAGGACTACAAAATTGGACCAAATCGGAACTCTCAGGAAATAGGGCACCAGTGTTTTTATAAGCTGGGATAATATTACCCGGTGGCTGGAGTTGAACTTTAAATTTTGATCATAGTTCTCGTTCTGGTTATACATGGAGCAGTCAGCAGTAATTTATGCAGGTGTATTTTATTGTAACGGGACTACCTGGTACATGTATTGCATGTGCCCCTCTTCTTGCTACCAAAGTCGGTGTGCTGTACTGAATCTCGGGCTAGGCCTTACGACCGGTGGAACATCAAAATTCACCGTTTCTATTAGGACTAGTGTCATCCATCCACCCTGGGGTCTCAATGAGAGTGCATCAAGCCGTCACCTAGAGTACTGTCATCTCAAGGACTACAAGCAAGCTGCGTCAAGGTTGTTGTTATTTTGATTAGATGTAATTGCCGGTACATTTTGAATCATGTAATTGGATGTTTTGTTTATTTGGAAGTTGTTGGAGAATTGAGTTGTCCCCATCCCCACCCCCCAAAAAAAGAGTTACACAACTTTGGTTAAGATGGCTTCTAAGGCAGAAGTTGATTCATTGCGAGACGAAATTACAAACTTGACCAAACAGCTGAAGGAAAAGAGGCCCCGAGACTGTCAGCTCTCCATCTTTTCTGTTGATGCCAATACAAAAGAAAGTTGAGTGCACAATACTATGTTTTTCAATATCGCAATCAAATTTTGACCTTTGTCAAGATGTTTGTGTTGGCACATAGGCAGTCCAGTATTTGGTCAATTTTCTTCTATTTATTAATCCTAATTGTCGTCAGTTATCTTGCTGGGAAGTATCTTGGCCTAATCTTACCATGTATATGGCATGTTTAGGTTAGGGTTGAAAGAAGCCCTGTAAAAAGTTAAAGAACCTGTTATATATAATTAACATCAAAATATAGTTCTTGTCTATCCTGGGTTTTACTTTCCTTCTTGGTTTTATTATTTCCTAATAGACTGTTAAAGATTGTATGTAATATTGTTGGTTTTGTTACACTTCTCCAATCGTATGTTGATAGGTGAGCAGAATGAAGGGAATACTACTGTCAATGTGGAAATAGTTTTTACAAAACATTCAAAGAAAGAGAGTTTAATGGTTTAAAAAAACCTAATATTTCAAAACTGAGGATTTCTCCTTACATGAGATACAAGTAAGACTACACATGACCTGTATGTATTGAGTAGAAATGTGGTAAGAGAGTATAAATCATCTGAGCCTTCATGTTTCCAGAAATGAAGAGGATTATGGATAATTGTAGTTTGATGGATAATTTGGTTTTATGAGGGCATACAACTTTTCTGTGTGGGGGATGTGATTTAGTTTGTTGGTTTGGAATGAATGGGCTGTTGTCACGTGATTGCATAGGCTGGGTACCCTGACAGTTTTATTGTTTTGTAATCGGGGTTACTTGTATTCAGGTTGGGTGACTTGAAACGCTTTTATTCATCATGAATGAGGTACAGATTCTCCTTAGCATGTATTGCATTCTTGAATTCTGGTCCGTTCACTGAAGCATAGACTATGGCATANAAAGGTCCTGGTTGGGACTGATCAGTGTCATTCTTTCCTTAGCCTCTGCTCACTGCACCAGCTCATTGTTTGGTCTGGTTTACACTGTGATGTAGTCTGTTGGGTGTGGCATGGGTATGCAGTTGTAGATTGCATGGCCATAGCATCGGGAATGACCAACGCTTGGTGGATGTTTAGCCGAGGTACGCTCAATACTTATTTACTCTATTAATGAATCAAATTGTGACGCGAGTATTGTTGTATAAATATTCATATGTACGTGTAATGTGTACTATTTGAATATAATTGTGTGGATTATGGGTGTTTAAATGTATACAATTTCTTTACAACTACACCCCTTTCCCAAGTTGGGGGTTTGCTTGCTGGGTAGTTCCGATTTGGTCCAATTTTGTAGTCCTTAAATTTTGTTAATTGGAATAGTCGTGGAAACCCTTGAATAAACCAATGGAAGCTCTCAGGAAATAGTGCACCAGTGTTTTATTAGCTGGGATAATATTAGCCGACGGCCAGAGTTGAAATTTAAGTTTTAATCAGAATTGTTGCTCTGGTTATACCAGTCACATGACAAAGATTAACTTGATCCTGATCCGATGTTACATGTATGTATTTCATATTGATATATATATATATACATGTATAACGTATATTTTTTATATTTGTCATGTTTATAGCATATAATTTATGTCTTTTAATTCAGCATAGCTGAATATAGCCTAGCTATTTGCTTTCTTGAATGGTCAAGTACAAAGAATAAGTCGTTGGGTTTCCAGACAGTTGTTCATTTTGGACAATTCAGAAAGGTCCCCAGTGCAGATCATTGAGGGAATTGTGTAATTAAGACACCCTGTTATGTTTCCCAGGTACCCTGAGACACGAGAACCAGTCTACATCCAGCGACACTGACACTGAAGTCAGTCTCCCATCCAAGGACCTGGATCTGGCCTTGATTACTAATGAAGATCTGGGTATCACGGAAGACCATTTCTCACATCCTGAGGTATCAGCTTTTGTCTTCTGTTATGTTCATGGCCCTCAAGACGTCTTGTGAGCCAAGAAATTCATCCCAAGTCAACTTAGTTTTGCCAAGATCTTTCGTCAGGCTGTAGGGTACAACCAGACAGATAAGCGTTTTCAACTTTTGCACATGACATCTAACGCGCCATGCTCTATTGAGTAGATTTTGTCTCCTTATGCATGCTACTAGTTAACAACTCAACAATATTTTGTGCTAAATATTCAGAGTTGTGAAAAATGAAAGTCTTTACAGTAGCCCAGGAGACGAACAGAGCTTATAAGTACTCAAAAAAAAAATTGCCATCAGAATTGGAACCAATGTTTTCGACTTATTTCCCTTCAAACAAGATGAAGTGCAATATGTAATGAGACAGTGCATGCCTTTTTTTAAAATGATTGTCATCATTTGACATCATGCTAGTAAGCAGTTTGTATACGGGGACAGTCTTGCTTAATACACTGTTTCTCGTGTTGGCCAGGGCTGCTTTGGGTTCTCTAGGCAAGAGGAGTTGGAGGTTGCCATAGAGCTATGCAAGGAGTCCGTCAAGGAGACGAGTGAACACTCCGAGCAACGACGAGAGCTGGTCAACAGGCTGGTCCAGCTACGCATGAAGCTCTTAGAAATCAAGGTCAGATTCTCCAAAACAGTCATTCGAAACGTGTACAATGGGCTAGAGCCTTTTGAAATCAAACCCAGGCAGCAGGCCTTGTGTCCACAAGCAAGGCACTTTACAGTGATAGTTCCAGGTGTGTTTGTTGTGGTGTCCTTAGCATCAGTGGGCTACAAACTCAGTCTGCTTTACACAAAGGAAGGATGTGTCTCTTACAAGTCGATTAAAAAACCAGTTTTTGAATCTGCCATCAACAAGGACACTGTAATACACTTCTCAGTAGTTTCAAGTATTTACTGGGTACCTTTTATCAATGCTGTAGTCAAGCCCATCTAAAGCCCTTCCACTGGCCCCATCACATACCCAGTCATGAGTCATTTTGCAAATCCAGTAACAAGTAACGGAATGAACAGTGACACAGGTATGCTTTCGTCACGGTTCGTATAATAACTTGTGACTTGACCTAAAGGATGACTTGAGATGAACTTGAAAGGACTTGGAGGACTCACTTGTAATGAGTTGAGGACTCACTTGTAATGAGTTGAACTACATCGCTGCCTCTGAAAGTGTTTTAATGAAGTGTTTGTGACTGCTTCCCTCACACCACCTGTTGCTGCTATTTATTTTTGTTCAGGAGGGCATGGAGAAGGACCCGGACATCAAGCAGGTCCTTGGTCATAAGTTTGTCAAAAGGAAAGGCAAAAGTTCCAATCACCAATGTGATACATGTAACTCCATCATCTGGGGGATGCTTCAGAGTTGGCACAGGTGTTATGGTGAGTGTCTCCCGTCTGTCAAGTTGTAGTTCTTCGTAAAAATAACATTCCCTCGGGCCTTTTTTCATTCTGGAAATGAAAGTTGTAAAAAGGCTTCTTCGTGGTGTCTGTCTTTGCTCTGTTATTTTGGTCATTATAGCTTTGTTTTGAGACCGGTGTGCCTATCCGACATGATGATGTTGCATATTTATTCATAGAGGCTCTTGACCTCTCTTCAAAAAAGCTTTAACATCTCTTCGAAATGAATTCCACTAAAAAGTGACTCTGGGGAATAATGCAATTTTCCGTGTACTTATTCTTTAGCATTTGGTAGCTTTCTACCTTCAGCCTCATTCTTACTGAAAAAGCCAAGTCATGTCCGTGAAGAAGTTCAGATTGATGTTGAACACATGCCAACTTCTGGGCAATCGTTTCACCAGAGGTATATTAAAGAGTCATTGTTTGTTTTGTTTGCCAAGTATAAGTCAGGCTTGAGAGATCTTAAATTTGTCATTTAAATCTTATAATCACCTGGGCGATTTCTTTTCTAGAATGTGGATTTAGCTGTCACAGCAAATGTCTCAACTTTGTCAAGCGGCAGTGTGCAAGCACTAAGGTAGGTAGGCATCCTTAAGACTGTACACCAGAAATACGAATCAGTTGAAATGTTTGTGTTTGGAACTTTGTAGCAAACAGGATATGATTCTGAGGTTCAGTGGCAAGCTGATGTCCTGTGCATCTCGGAGACATCTAAGGCTGGATGTAATCAGAGCTGGTTCAGGTCCCCTTGGTGCTATCCGAGTCCGTGCTTTCATTGTGCCCTGGGCTTGGGATGGAATTCTAAAGATCTTTTGTCTCCAGTGTCAAAGATTTGTGAAATTAATTTGGGTTTGTATATTTTGTATTTAGCAAAAATTGCCTGTCTTGAATGATTTTGGCCTATTCTCAGGATGGGTGGATAGGCAGCTAGACGCCCTCCTGGTCAGGTATTAGCCATTATTAGGAGTTCCTCTCAAATTCTTGGGTCAACTCCCCTCTACCAGCAAATAATGTAAAATGTAACCACATCCAATAGACATATGAGTGCCATTTCACTCTGGTGTGTTCCTCTCTCTTCAAGGCATTATGGGTTTGTACACATAATGTTGAAAATTGGGAATGTGCTCTCTTGGAATTTGCATCTGCTAATATCAATGTGTAGCAAACACTTGTTCTTAATAGCTGAAGGGGGACCCAGGTCTTTTAAGAGAGTTTTTAGACCCCCCTACCCTGCGCCCACCCCCACCCTGCCCCCACCCTGCCCCCACCCCCTGACTAACCTCTGCATGACACCAGCTTCTTGTTATTTTCGCGTATCAAGCTCAAAAATTGCTGACAGGTTCCTTTCACGCTTACCCCTCTGGAACAATGATGCACTCACTGAACTGCCGTTATGTTTGAGATATTTTGCTTGACAAATAAAACTCCAGAACGTTTGGTCACAACTTTTCAACTGCCTTTCAGAAATTAACTTCTGGGTGCTTTGTGCGATGTTTTTTTTTTGTTTGCAGGTGACACATCCTGTTTTCCCTGCCTATTCCAATGGGGTTTGTTAGAACAGTGTTGGGACTGTCTGTCAGGAATTAACATGTACACATCCATGACAGCTTGGCATCATTTTGTTTATTTTTTGTTGTTATTGTGATGCAATAATATGCAAATAATTTGCTGTGCTGTGCACCAATCACATCAAAGGTTAACATCAAGTCACATGCCAATCAGAGCATTGTTAAGTTCTCAGTATTTTTTTATTAAACCAATATCAAACATGGCATGCTTTGGCATTTTAAGTACATATCTTTGCATTGAATGACAAATAACCTTGCTTGATGTTTCAACCATCAAATGTACATTTTGTCTATTCAAATTTATTGAAGGCTTTTTTTAAATCCCAGTTTTTAAAGTAAGGCTCAGTCAATGATAGGATGGACTTTCTTAGGGGACAATTAACTCAATCGGCAAAACATTCTGGATTCTGGAATAATTTCCTCTGCAAAAAATACAGATTTCTCGGCAGGGATGAAACTGTCTATGTGCACATGGTGTTTTGGGGTCAGAAAAGATGACAGTGACAAACCTGTACACAAGATCTATGAATTCAAAGTCACTGTAAATCACCATTTTTTGTCTTCCATGTACCCTTTTAGGCTAGATCAGTCCCCAGAATTTCTATGGATAACCGTAATACAGGTGCAAATACACAGGTACTAATCAATGTTTCATTTCATTGAAACTCTTCCAAGCTTTCACAATCAGTTTCTTAACCTCTCATATACTAACTCTTCTTCAACTTGTCCAGTTAGTACCTAATTCTGTCAGGTTTTGGACCCATTAGTTTGTTTTATTCTCTGTTTGTCATTTTTGGGGTCAAAATTTGGTTACGTTCAGCCCGAATCTACAGACACGCCGAGATGTGAAATGAATTGTGGTGTTCATCCAGTCACCAACAGCTCATGAACATATGATGTTATCTGAGGGATGGTTTGTTTCCCCTGTAATCCAAACCACTTCAATCCACCAAAATCCCACATTAGAATTTGTAAGAATTTGATGGATGGAGTATTGTAGAGCCCAGTCACCAGTGCTATCTTACACGTTGCTTGATGCCCCAGTTCCTTTCAAGAGGAAGGAATTGTCAGCGGTTTACTGCTCAGTGTTGGATTGTGGCTGATTCTGGGTGGGTCTATCTACATTACGTCAGGGGATAAAGAACAGTGTTCATTGGTTCAAGTTGTTTTCAACTTACCTTTCTGTCCGTGTATTATTTTGTTCGAAAATATTCCACAGAGAAATCTCAAGTGAGCTTGTACATTCCATGTATTAAATGGAACATTCACTTACATTTGGTAGTGAGACAAAGGGTGAAGGGAACGGTTGAATCCGGGGAATTCATGAGGGGAATATTATTGTTTTTCTTATTTCCGCAGAGAGGAATCATTCATGCTGTAGATGATATCAAAGAATCAGAAAGGAAAACATCATCCAAACATTATCAAATGCTTGCCTTTATCCATCACATTCAACTCTATAGAAACTGCATTCTGTATAGGTCTCGTAATGCATTGGTAGTAGGGTCAGCAAACTCATGTAGCCTTCAGTTACATTTATGTGAACTGTCATCAATCCACAGGTTGAAAGTGATTCCTAGCTGAACTGATCTTGGAGACACTGAATAGTTTCATATCTTGATGTCATGCCTATCTTTTCCTGAACTCTTTCATGGAATATGGTGCTGCTACTTATTACTCAGCCTGGAACGGAAGCTACAAGATCATTTCTTTTCAAACAAAGACACCATCCAGCAAAAAAAAGCAGGGGAAAAAATATGTAGATTGAGCGGAAATAACATATTGGTCATAATATTGTGGTATCTTGCATCTACACTGCAAACCTGTTTAGTGATTTTATTTGGCAGAGTTCCAGATTTGTCTGTCGCTGATCATACCATCAGGCCTGGCAAACTTAAAAGACCACAAATGTCACGGATAATTCGCCAGATGTAAGCTCTCTCATGAACATTATACTAATGGAATCATTCAAAAGAAATACATACACATGTACACCTGTGCCAAACTCGGCACATGATATGCAACCAATATGACATTTGTAGTTGTCATGCAGTGAAAGTGCATTCATTCACCCCCATCTGTACAGACATAAATTAATCAATCAATTACGTTGCACCATCATGATTTTCCCAACCAGGAAATTTCTACTGCACATTTATGGTATTTTCCCTAACAACAGCACTGTTCATCAAAACTGATAGTAATAACGAAATCCCACGAAGCCTCTCAACCTCTTGTGATGATAGTAAGCATGTGAAGGTCCGATGACTTTCTTGTGGGAGGAAAAGAAAAGTTTCATTGTTTTATTTCTCTGATGGTGGCATGCAAAAAACGTTGGAAGTCAGTTGAAAATTTTAGATTTCATAAGAAAATTGACTGCATTTTGAGGAACAAAAGATTGTAAACAAATTTTTAATTTGAGAATTGATATTCAGTGGCTGATCTGAGCGTGTCAAAATTGGACTTACAATTCCAAAAAAGTTGTGAAAGTGTGTTCAGTTTTGTAAAAATTAATAATATTTCAGCTTATTTTGCTCATCAATATCTGCAACAAAACGGCAGGTTGACAGTTTGAAATCTTTGGATGTAACAGCTTCTCATTACAGTCTCCTATAGCTGAAACCTCCGGGCATAGCATTTATCTAATGAACAGGTGTATGGTGACATTTCCAGATTGGAAGTATGTCTGGTTATTTTATGTTTTCCAGCAGATATCTAAACGGGGTTACATCATGGATATATGCCCAGAGATAGGCCTAGCTGCTCAGAATTACCGATGTGCAGAATGCAGGACGCAACTATCTTTCAGTGAGTTCAAACATCAGTTTTGTTCATCCTGCTGAAGTGTAAGGAGTAAAATTGATGAAATATTTGTGAAATCATTATCATCATTAATCATTAAAGTTAAAAGATGTTTTTTTTTGGGGGGGGGAGATGGTTACACCTGTAATTCCTAAAACTTTACTGAAGCAAGATATGAGACAGAGAGAACCCCCCCCCGCTTTGTGTTGGGCATTGCCTCACTGGAATCTGAGGAATTCTTTTCAGACAGCTAGGAGGGATGTGTAACCATAGTCTGGAGTGTGTATAGCAATTGGCCATCTTGAGGGGTACGCCCCCAGTCTCAGTTCTTGCTGGATATAAATCAAATATAAAGGCATGCATGAAATAGGCAGTGTCTGAATCATGTTTAGAGCTAGGTCTTGACCATTTGCAAGAGCCACATACTGACAGCAGACGTAGCCACAATTCAGGGACGTTTGTTTGTTGAAGGCTAAGCCAAGGATCCAATGCTCATTATTTCTCTCTGGTGTGGTTTCATTGAAGCACACTGCCTTCCAAGGTCACTTACTGTTTAGCTTTATTCCCTGAGTAGATAGAGAGCTCTCTGAGTTGTTTGGATTGTCCCTGACACTATCCGCCGTTGAGCAGAAACATCCCCCCTCGTCTGCTGAAAAGAAACCGTCTTGGTTAGGAGTGTTCATTTCCCCCTCGTCTGCTGAAAACAAACCGTCTTGGTTAGGAGTGTTCATTTTGATGTTTAGCAATGCGACCATAATGCTTGCATTTCACAGTCATTTGTAAACCAGGGATGCGCAGTTACTGTCAAAGGAGCCTCCATTGCTAGGAAATTGCGCCCTCTCTTGGTCCAGCTCAAAACCCATAGAATGGCACTGAGGCAGTGATTTGATCAGCCTTGGGTATGACATATTAATCCTCAAGGATTTTTTGGTCACTCATCTCAATGTTCCACAATACTCCAAATCTCAAAATGTCTCAAGTCTCATTATCCCCCCTCATTGTTCCCTTTGTTTCTGCCATTCTTTTTCCAGAGGGTGATACTGCAGATCCAAGGCAATGTGACTATGATGGCCATTATTACTGCAGTCTGTGTCATTGGAACGACACAGAGGTCATTCCAGCCAGGGTCATCCACAACTGGGACTTTAACACCAGGAAGGTCTGTTTTCCTTTCTCTAAATCCACAAGTTCCATTCTTCATTTGGTATTTTCTTTGAAATTCCTGACAACTTTGGATTCTCCTGGGTGCAGTCCAGAAAGCTACCTCTAGTTTTTAGCTCTGCAGTTTTTTATATGCATTTTCGTATATTTCAGATATGAAGTGAGACATTTACCTCATTGATTGCCCCTCTTAATGTGACCTAGGCTCCATTGTATAATCTTCTTCCTTAATTTTATTAAGGGAAATAAACGAGCAAAATAATTTCTTTGCTGAGCTCTCCATGACGGTTGAGTTTGCAAGACAGGAATTGTACAGAAAGACTGGCACACAGCACGTGGGTAGCTTTTGAGTTTTGACAACCTCTAAGTTATTAGTTTGCATTTTAAAAAAAGGACAAATTTCACATTCTGAGACTTTTTTGTGTGTTTTGTGCAGGTGTGTCGACAGTCCAAGCAATTCCTGAAACTAATGCAGCGTCGAGCCGTGCTGTGCGTTCAGGACCTGAATCCAATGTTATTCAACTACGTCGAGGAACTCAGTCAAATTAAGGTAGGTTCTGTCCAGATCTTACTGGTTTGGACTGCGAGACTTCCTTCTAGTAATTTACTTGATCAAGACTCGCAGTTGTCCAAGAAGATGAGATATATAAGAATGTCAAATGTAGCTAATTTTTAATTCTTCAAGTATTAGTGTCTAAAGATTATCGCCGTAAGTAAGATGGTATATTAGTGATGCATCGTGAAATCGGTGTCTGCCGTCTGTTTTGCTACGTGCAGAAGTTACGTGAGGAGATTCTGGTCATGAAGATGTACTTCCTGTCCTGTAGGAAAGCCATGGAGGATAAGCTCCTTCTTCAGGTACACATTCAATCATTCAACTTTGCCTCTATGACAATATTCCATCGCTTAGTCTCTCAGGCTCTATTTTGGGGATGGGCCTGCAATATTCATTGGCAAGGGAGGGGGGAATTCACTGTGTTTCTTAGCACCCAGAGAGATATTTCAAACGTTGAGGGGCAGGTTTTCTCAAAGCTGCATTAGATGTTGACGTTTGTACTTTCTAGATGAATCCAAGAATGTATATGCCTGCCAGTTGGGGGTAATAGTGTCTTGTAAAGTGCAATGGCTTTGTGGGTTATTTTGCTTGAAGATGGAAATACCACATGAAGTATGATTTTTCCCATCCTTTAGCTACAGAACCGACCTCACTTTGTGGACAGTCCAGAGACCTACTCCTTACAAGATCTCATTGATACAAAGGACAGTACTCTCTTATCAACACTGTCTGGTATCCATGGCAACTACGCAGTCCACATCAAGATAGAATGCCCAGTAAGTACCGCTAGATCAAAGATGATGTAAATCTGTTGGCATTTTAACCTTCAAATTAATGAGGCGTAATAAAAGTGGTCCAGTAGAGACTGTTGTTGATGCCAGCGACTAGGCCAAAGCACCCTGTGTTGCATGTGAAGTAGTGTAATTATGTTCCAAGCTGCTGTATGTTTCACATTTCTTGAAGTTACTTGATAGTGGATGCATTTTATTCACCAACTAACTGTGACATCATGCCCATTTACCTCGGCTAAGGTGTAGGGCTGTGAATATTGAATATTCCAATATTATTTTCCGAGGTTCTGTATTCGAATGCAAAATTCATGAAGAAGGGAGGATTTTCTTTGTTTTAAATGAGAAAAATTGCACTGTGGAGGCTTGTTTCAAGTAGATTCAAATGAAAAGCGACAGAAAGCTTACGATGATTCTAATAGTAAAGTATTCATTAACAAATTTCATAAGAATAGACATTTTCACATTTTGGACAAGAAGTACTATTCGTCTGTAAATGTTGCTAAATTATGGCTGGAGATACTCCTAGACGTAAGAAGCTAGTATATTGATTAAATGTTCAATTGTGTGTGTTATTGCAGCTGATTTTCTATATGGTTAGTTCATCAATTATCTGGCGGTCAATATGACCGAATATTCAATCAAATGAAGGTGGAATATTCGAATTGTGAATTATTTGAATTGACTCAGCCCTACCAAGGTGGCTTGATCGCTTATGAAGTATGAAGTCAGACCCTTTCCACAAATTTTTGCTTGGGTCAGTAACATGCTTATGGGTAATTTTGAATGACTTGTTTGAGCTTCCACAAGCATATATTCATAACACGGTGTGTTAGGTGTTATTCAAGAGCCCACAACAAAATTGACAAGCTTACTCGGGTGGGACTCGAACCTATGACCTCCTGCCTACCAATGCAGATATCTTGACCACACAGCTTGTTAGGGTTGGCTGACCAATTACAGTTTATGAGTCTTGTTCAACCTTGTATTGTTACAATTCCTCTGATGGCAATGATAGTAATCCTTTCTTGAGATAACCAGAGGTCCCTCGCATCAAAACAAGCCTGTGTTCTTGTGTCACTGTCTCTTGCTACCCTTTTGTCTCTGTATCTGTAGCTGTGTCAAGCAAGGGGTTTTATCTGTGAGCTCTGCAACTCTGATGAAGTCCTGTACCCTTTTGACATGATCGCTGCTGTTTGTTCCCACTGCTCTGCAGTTTTCCACAGGTAAGGCCACTCGCTCTCTTTATCACCGACAGAACTCTAGCCCAAAAAAAGAAAGAGATATTTGTCTTCTCAATCCCCTTGACCAGCAGGCATATGTGTTGTATTTATTTCAGCCTTGAATGGCCTCGGTGGTGCTGAGTTGAATAGGGAGACATGTGTAAGCATCATTTCACAGTTAGTGTAAATTTCTGCATCGTTGTCACATTTGATATCTTATGTTTGCTTGGTGTCATTACAGGGATTGCTTCTTCAAGCATTCGGGAGAATGTCCCAAGTGTAAACGCTTATCAAGACGTTCCTGTCAAGAGGGACGATAAAACCAAGATGAAATGGAGAATGTGATTTATAAATATCTATTTGTCAAGTCATATAACCAGTATCTATTAATCTAGACCAGCAGCGTTCATATGCCAACTGTCTCAAGCAGCAAAACTATCTAGCAGATATACCGACCAAAATTTATCTATCCAAGAAAAAAAGCCACAAACTTTTTGCAGGAAGGGTCATTCTATAAATTTGGGGTCCCACGTGTGACATTGTTCTGTCCCTGTCTACACCTGACCTGTGTAATTTGACAAGAGGTATATCGCTGAAATTGATTTCAAACTATTTTTGTTTGACAGATAATTTGAAGTATTTATTCACTCATGGGGATTAAAGAATAAGCTCTAAACATCAAAAATCACACACCTTGGGCCAATTTCTTAGCGCTGCTTAAGCACACAATTTGCTTAAGCAGGAAAAAACTTTGCTTAATAAACAAAGGTTACCGGCTCAAACTCTGTCTGATTGTCATGCTAACCAAAAAACAAGCTAAATACAATCCCAAAACAATATACATTATATGGAGTTTTGGCTGGTAACCTCATTTATCAAGTAAGGTTTTTTCACGCTTAAGCAAATTTTGTGCTTAAGCAGCTCTATGAAATTGACCCCAGATGTAACAGGGATGGAAAAAAGTGTACACCAAATTTATAGAATGACCCACAACTGTCCTCTTCCATTAAAACTGATCATATTGTAAATCTCAACTATATCTTGTTCATTGTTTCTAAATCGTGAGAGCTATCATGACTGTTGTGAGTGTTTTTAAATATTGTTCAAATTTTTACAGTATTATATCACTTTCCTAAAATGCTGATAATTGTGGGTGGAACACCAATCTTTTCCTTTGTTATAAGAATATCAATCAATTTAAATCAAATTGAGGGATTTTTAAGTTGGAATTTTGATGTGGGAAAAATTTTATTTATGTCTAAAAACCAAGTGTTATTAAATGTACTATTTGGGGTATTAAATTCAAAAAACTTTACTTTTGTACCAGAGTGACTGCAATTCAAAGTGAAACTTTTATAAATTCTACTTTTTGCTTGTTTTTAACCCCCAAATTACATTATGGAGTAAGGTATAATTCCAGGGAAAGTGAGTTTTCAAAAACACTCTGTCTTCTCCCCTGGGATTAGAAAGTAACATGTCCTTTGGTCACCTTGGACAAAAATTCAGTTTTTCTGACGACCATGAGGCAGTTTTGTGGATTTGTCAAAAAACTTGTTACAAAATACAAACATTGTGATAATTGAAAAAATTCATAAGATACAATCTTTCGTCCTTGCGGCTTCTGCTGGTTTACTTGTAAGTGGAATGTCCATGTATTCACAGTGGTTTGTATATTTGTCTTATCCTTGATGCAGTGTGATTTTTTTCCCCTCAGAATCCAAATGCAGCGTTGACCGAAATGTCTGAGCTTTGAGTCGTGGATTTGTCAGATTCTGTAAAACATATAAAGGGGAAGGATTGGGATCAATATTGTCAGTCTTCATGTGAATAAAATGCGAGATCTTAAAATTGACAGTGCTAGGTATTACGGTGTGTGTTTACACAATAACTTATTACTTACTTGCAATTGTTCTCAGGAAATGGGAAAGTAGTGGGGGTTGAGGTTATTGATTTCAACTGTTTTAATTCTTGCTAGTAACCACTTGTTGACCATTGGGTTGGGTGTTAGAAAACTCAATTATTTCCTAATTCAACTCCTTTGCCCCACATAGTTTCCTTTTACCTACGCCATCCTCATTAACCTCCTTTCAAAATCAAGCATCTTTTTACATGAATTCAATATCTTATGAAGCAATCTGTGCAGGTTTATAAATGTGAGTGGTTTTCGTCATGGTATTTGACCAATTGTGTTGCTCCGCGTCAAATATCTGTATTATTATATAAATTTTTACCTTTGAAGTATATTCCACGTGTATACTTCTTGGTGGTGATGAAGAATAAATCGTTCCCCGAATCTAACGTCATTCTTATCAAAATGATTGGTCTGTCTGTAACTGTAGGGATACTAAATTATTTATGTACTTGGTGTAGCTATTATGCTGTCTTTCTGACATACTTCAAATTTTGATTCCTGATTTTTTGTTTGTGTCCGTTTTTTCGGAAATGGATTCCAAATACATTCAGTTAAATCCTGTCCAAGTGTGTATGTTATTAGTTTAAGACTGCTTTGATAAATGGGAACTAGGATTGTAGGTTGGTTCAGTACAAAGATGCAAATTTTTGAAGATGCAACTATAAATTGATTGGTTTTATTTGCATTGTACATCGAAGAATGTGGTTCATGTCAAAGTTCCTCCAAACTGGGCCACGAAAAATCTCGAATTTAGATTCAAATCGTTTAAGTTAAACATACATGTATAGGGCTTTGCTTATACGAATAGTAGCCGCAGTAGAGGAAGGGCCCTCGCTTAATCTTTTCCTACCTCCATGGTCGAATGAACGGTCAAAATTCTGCATAATATTCAGTGGTTTGTAGAAGAGGTGGCTAAACGTTTTGGCAATCATCCAGGGTTCTTTTATGAACCTCTCCATGTCGGCAATAACTGTTGCTTGAGAGATATTAGATCGTGATTGTTTCCAGGGATCCCATCTGACTGGCTACGGGTGAACACCTGTCTTCAAGAAGAGCATGTTGACTACTAGGGCTGCTGGACTGTTGGCTCGATGACCGCGGCACTCGCTCGTCAGTGTCATCACGACTTAGAAGTGTACTCGACCGTCGACGGTTGATGGCTAGATCCCTATACGACCCCCAGCTATGGTGGTCATCAGCACCCGCGGAAGAACGCTCGGTAGACAAAGCATCCGACTGGTCAGTCCGCTGGTTGCTATCAGTGCTGTATTGGTCAGTGTCTGGCTGTGGTGTGGCATCTGAGGCTTTTAGTTTGGTTTGCTGACCGATATCATCGTTGCATTTACTTTTGAAAACTGCACCATCGAATGCGTGTTTTGAGTGACCAGTCAGATGATGTTCTACGTCTTGGCAAGATGGGTTTCCGGCAGACATTTCCTGCGACTGTTTCGTGGTATCGTTTGCACTATCAACATTTATATTTTGTTTTAGGTTTACAGTTGTCATGGCAACACAGTCGTCACCTGCGACAATATCATCCTCTCTTTCTGGTACATGTGACCGACCCTTGGACGGAGCCTCCACCTTTCGTTTTTCTGAATTACGGCAAGATGAGTTTTGTTTGGCCCCCGCCAACGACTGTTTGGTGGCACAATGGACATTTGAAGAACATGTACTACTAAATGACTCGTTCAAATCCTCCTCCAAATTATGGCATCTTTTGTTATTCTTACTAGTACCTGTGATGCCATCAACTTCTACATTTTGATGGTTTTCTCTCGGAGCATTCAAATATTGTTCTTTTGGATCAGGATTTGAATTTTCGGAAGAGTTTTTCGTCGCCTGTTTTGGGTCGTTTGAGACTCTATTTTCAGTTGACAAATAGCTATGTGAATCACTCAAGCCGTCATTCACATTTTGATGTCTTGAGGTAGCAATAATGCTGTCTTTCCGAGATGTACATTTGTCTGGAATGTCGGCTCGACTATAAACTTGTTTATTCTGTTCTCGTTTGTTGATGGAGATTTCGTCAGCAATTGAACCTTTGTTCCTTGAGACGCCTTTGCTGTCTGGCGCTGCCTTGATTGAAGTAGTCGCAGTGCTTTCTCCTAAGTCTGTTTTTCCCGTATTACCTTGATCTTCTCCGTCAATATTTGCTTTGTCCTGTTCCTTGTTAATGCGACTCTCATCCGATTTGGCTGTTGGTTTTGACGTGACGCCCTTGACAAACTTTGCATTTTCAACTTTTGCATTGCCTCTTTTGCTCCCTTTATCCAACTCGTTTGTTTGTTCAGCTGCGATGGCCTCTGGAGACAAAGTGGTCAGAGAACTAAGCAAGTCGCCGCCGTTTTCTTCCAGAGCTGAAGCTGGGTTTTTCTCTGCTTCGTCTTTACCATATTTCGTTATCAGATTCACATCATTGCCTTGATCTTGTCCCCTACTCTCCACATCTTGACGATCTTCTGTATCCAGTACGCGTTCAGCTGTGCCTGGCAGAAGGCCTAGCCGACTTTCTGTCCTCTCAGTCTGCGCATTAGCATCCAGGACGTTGTCGCGAAATCTCTGCTTCGCTGCCATACTCATCCTCCTAGCCTGTAACCGCTTCAAGGCTGTCTCAATCTGCATTCTCTCTTCCTCTTCCTCTCTCTCCTCCTGCTCCGTCTTGTCCAGCGAGAAAAGCATGAAGACGGCGTTCCTTAGACGCAGCTCGTCTCTCTGGGCCGTCTCGGTGTTGTCGTCTCCGGGGGCGTTGTCCGGATCGACTTGGGCTCGGTGCCTGCCACATCTGCACCAAGCCTTGCTCTGATCTTGTCCCACGGGGCAAAAGATCTTAATCGCATTGGCCGTCAAGAAGGAAACCAGGGGCACCATGAGGAAGAAGAACATTGTGTAGAAGACCTTGTTGAATCTGTCCTCGGTGTAGTTGGAGAGAGTTGTGGAATCCGGATGGGTTGTGGATGAAGTTCCGTCAGGAGGGGTCGTTGGTGCAGCACCTATAAATGGATGAGATGGGAAACACCTATAGGTTTCATCTGGGTGACTAACCACGGCTCGTGTGGTGACAAATCCTCTTACACGAGAACAGAACATCCCATCTTAAGAACGAACTATCAATACAACTAGGTCTTCTGGGTTTATGATACTGACGCGCCTTGGATGAGGGGCTGTCGTTAATTTTGCGTAAACCCAACGAATAAAATTGAAAGAATCCAAGAGCAACTCTCCACAAAGGAATAATCAAAGCAAAACACTTACTTAAATCACGGACCAGTGGTTTGTGCTTAAATCAGAATGGCAAGTAAAAATTAACACGTAACCTCTTTAAAAGGTCCCAACAAACATGAGGAACACTGGATAAATAATCCAGTGAAAATGACCCCTTCGTTATTTCAATCTTAGAAATAACACTCACTGGCTCGTGTTGGACCAGCCATTTCGAAGCATATCCAAATGACGACAGTCCATCTACTGAACAGCCTGGAGGTTGTTCGTCTTAGCTCGCCTGGCCTAGAGCTGTTTCCGCCCCGATGATGCAAGCCACTCCCTACTTGTTTCCCACCGGAATTCACTTCTGGACATGAGCAATGATTACTACAGGATTTACTCCTTGACCTTGGTCTTGTCCACTCAACTGTCCATAGCATCGTGATAGCCAGGCGGAGGCCGGGGCATCTTGTCAATGAAGGCTCGACGAAGAGTGGAACGGTCGGATGGTAATGTCCGTTACTCTCCCCAGAGAAAAAGATTTGACAATTCTGTCGCGTTGCCGATTCCTGAAAGAAAGAAACCAAAAGCTTAAAGGAAAAGAAGTTTTCAAGATTTTTTTATTAATTTTTTAATTTTACTTTTTTTATTTATTTAATACCATTTGTATCCAACATAGTTATTGCAATACATTGAAATTCGTTGTGGTTTTGCGACCGTGAAAAACGTGATAACATACAGTATATTCGACAACTACTGACACTTCATGCGCCTGCAATAACTTGGATGGTAATATAAAATGGAAATTCAGCTGAACAGTTGAGCACAGGAAATAAACAAGGACATGTTACAGGGGCAGAACCGTTTCATTTCGCATTGTCTATGAAGAGAAAGGCTATCAATACATTATAACACAAAGGAATATTATTTTGAGTCTTGAAACAATATCTCAATTCGACACTAATCTGGCGACCTCCGAAAATTCCTCTTTTTGTTAAAACAGTACGCATACCAACTTGGTTGAAATGAATGAACACAATGTTTTGAAAATAATAAAGTGGTTTTGATTAGGAGTCTCGTGATTCTTACCTGTAACAACAACAACAAAACAAACAACCTACCCAGGCAAAATGAAGTACACTCTCCACACTTTTATCACGGAACCTTCAAAGTCGCCTGTCTGTGTGTCATGGCAGCAATCCAACACAAACCTCCCGCAAGGAATATCGATATTGATGCGGATAAACCGGGCGTTTGATAATAATTTGATGCCAGCAAGAGTTGGTACTCCAAGTTGATAATCGATATATTGGAGATTACAATTCAATGAAACGATAGATAAATGGATGAACTTTTGGTACTTTTCGTTTCATCTGATCCAAATCACATGGACTGCGTTGGCAACACGTAGACCCTAGGCCGACCGGTACAACAATTGTGCCAACAATGATCAACATAAACTTCGTGTCCAATACTATCCACCATGAGTACTCCGCGGCAATTCTCGTTCAACATGCGCAGGTGGCAACTCCTTCAACACTTACAACTACACGTACTAATCGTGTTCGACACGAAGAAAGAAAAGCAAAAAACGAAACTGTTGTGAATGGGCGGTAAAGAAAAAAAATCGAACTTTGTAAAAGCTTTCTGTTCAGAGTTGCTAAGACCTTCGGCACACAAAGGAGCAGAGGTACAGGTAATGGTCTGTATGCACAAGAGATCAATTCGGTTTCGCGCGATCGATAACAGGGATTGTTGCTTGGCGACCAGTGAGAAATTTAGAGGCCATCCACCCATCAAAACTAAAGGGAAATGTCGACAAGAATTTGTTGCGGGAGAGTAGACCTCAATGGATAGGTCATAAGTTGGTTGATTTTGTCTGCGCTCGGTGATCCGAAGGATTTCATTGTAATACTTATATTCACTTGAACATCTGTACAAACAAAGAAAAACCGATAAAATCGAGATGATGGTGTTGGGCCAACCAAACCTTATTCATTGCCGAATGTGCAAACCCCCAATATAAATATGAAGAAAAATTTACAATTATTAATAAACACGGCAAACCTCGCACATTAATAAAAATTACTTGTTCTTGCATAAAGGTTTATTTCTTACATTGAAATATAAACAAGAAAGGCAATTATGAAAGTCATGAGAGTTATTTGATCAAATGGACCGCTGTAGTAGAAGTTTAAAGGACATTACTTTCATAGGCGTGTACCCTGAGAGAGTTACTGAATTACGGAAGCTTATAGTGACCATCCAATTTTGACTGCTTAAGCTTATACAGAAAAACCAAACAAAACAATAACGCAAACATGCAACAAAAACAAGAACAAAAATCTCTAACAAATCAACCACACATGAACGGTCCATGAAAACATTGACGCAAAAAAAACCATCATTTAGTGAGAGGGAAAACACCGACAAACTTGTCATTATGACCATGAATGACGGAGCTCTCGCAAAAATTTGCTTGGAAACTGCTCAGCAAATCAGATTTTATTAATGCCGACTTTTTATTTTGAGGTTGCAAGAGGAAAAGTTAAGAACATTCTTACAGCATTGGTTGCAAGTAATAACAAGGTAATGAAGTTGTTTCTGCCAGAATTCAATATTCTTTTTATATGCATCAGTAATATTTTTCCCAAAACACAAACATTCCCCCACAATCCAAAAGAGTGTTAAAAATAAATCATTTAAGTCATACCAGTCAAGTCATGCATTGATTGATAAAAAAGTGTTTTATTACCAAACTGGTCAACTGAAAAATGTTTTCTTAGTTGGCTTCACTTTTTCCTGCACTCAAAAATCGACCCTTTTCACATTTGAAGATTAATTTTAAATGTTCCAACAAGCTTCTAATTTATGAAAATGTCATTCGATTGAAAGTCAAGTGACTGCAAAACCACTCAAAAATTAAAGTAACTAATTTGTTTGCTGACAGAGGCTGAGTGTGAAAATTTGAACTTTGTCCTATTCTTTTCTCTCTAATTTCATCCTACTGACTTATCCAGGTCTTGAGTGGGGGGAGGGGCAAAGGTCTTGAGTGGGGGGAGGCAAAACAACTATCCCTCACTCTTGGTCCTCTGTAAAAGAAGCCTTACCCCCCATCCATCCCGGGAAATCTGTTAGTATCGTTGTGATAACGAAAAATTGAAATTTCCTAAGAAGAATACTAACATTAATACAAAGATTGGAAACATGTTTACAGGATGGGGGAAACTTGCACCCCCTCTGCCCAATCTCCCTCAATATGCTACTGCTTTGTTCTATGAATTGGGCTGCCAGATTTATCAGGGAGATATGCCAGGGAAAAGACGCTGAGATTGTCATCATGCTTTTGAATATAACTTGGGCATGCAGAGTGTTGAAGTGTTAGTATTGTGCTGTTTACTTGAGATTGAGCATTTAAGAAGATTGGGAGCTTTTTAAGATGTTTGGTTTTTGTGTTGCTATTTTCCTTCTTAGTTACGTTGTAATCTACTCCCTTCTGATCCACAAGCCAATAAACATCAATCCAATTCCCAAGGGAAGGTCACATGGCCAGTACACAACTGCAAGAATGCCATTTCGTATTACGAAGCTCCATCAAAGTAGGAATCTTTTTTTTACGGTCAGTGGCAATTGGCGCAATTAGGGTGACATCGCTTGGCATTCACACGGCATTTACATCCACCAGATATGTCACCGTTGCCCTGGTGATTAAAAACAAACAAACAAATTAAAACTGCCAGTAATGCGTAAACGTCTTAGACATATTTTGAGCAGACGACTTTCTTAAAGAATCAACTGCTGATTTCACTACCTCGCCACTCTTCATGATTTGTAGAATTAAATCTTTGTCATAATTCAAGGGATTTATGGCGCAAAAACAGAAAGATTGACTCACAGCTGGTCCCCATCGTGGTCCCTTGGTAATCCAGCACACTTCCAGTTTACACATGGAGCACATCACCCAATCACAGCCTTCCTTCTTGAGCATAATAATGCTGCACTGGGGGCATCTCATGGCTTCCCCGTTTGCGATCATTTTCTGCCAAGAGAAAGAACAGAGACAGTAAACTTCCTGGCCTTGCCCCAAAGTGCCCCCTCTTCCCTCAAAATTTTCCCAGAATCAATAACTGTTAATTTATTCCATTGGGGATTCACCCCATGTTTTAATCTTAAGACTGGTCAGTTGTGCAGGAAAATGGATTAACTAAAATCTCAGGAAGTGACACAACCTCTGGAGATTAAATAATCCTCATTCCTATGTATCCAGCAAAGTTTAAGAAAAAACTGTTAACATTGTTTTGTTTTTCCCCGTTTCAAGGGGACCCCTCTCTCTCCAAACACTGATCCCTGAGTCAGTGTATCAAGTTCATGTCCATCTCTTTTACACATTTTAGGGTGTGTTTGTCAGTTGTTCCGTTTGTTTGTATGTCTGTCCTACTCAATAATAATAATAACAATTTATTCATTTATAAAGTGCAAATTTCATATAGATCTGTTCAAATACGCTGTGCAATGAAGACACTGAGCATGAAACAATCAATACATTTAAACATGGTTGAGCCGATGGCATACAAGGGCGCCTCGGGCAGCCGCCTAAGGACCCACATTCACCAACATCAGTAAAGGGGAGACAGTAAGAAGCAGTTACAGTTATAGAGGTGGGAGGAAAATGCCAGAGGAATAGTCTGGGTAAAACCCACGGAGTCAGGTAGGGACTGAAAACCTACTCCACAGGTGGACCAGGCCGGGAACTGAACCCGGGACCACAGAGGTAGAAGGCAAGGAAAGAACTACTTTGCCAACCTGACTCAATCTCACATATCTATCTCTTGGATTACCTCCAGCATGTTTTTAGTCATCAATGCAGCCTTGTCATTGGCTGCCCTCCTCTGTATGTCATCCTGGTACTCCTTACAGTTCATCCCTTGATGGATGGCCTTACAAGTCAAGCAATTCTCTTTACCGCAGATCGGGCACTGGAAAAAGTTGATGTCATCGTCGTAGAAACAGAAACCTTTGCAGTCTGGCGTCTTGCAGTGGAAGCTGTTGGGGTCTTGACTTTCAGCTACCGTAAGCCCACGCTGTAGGTATTGCTCAAATTCTTCAGGGCTGACAAGCTGTTTGGAGAAACAAAAAGAAGGATTTGTCTGAAATGTTGCTCTTTTTTCTTTTAAAGTCATGTCTCGTCTGTCTTTCTGGCATTTATATACCATTCAGCAGAATTTCATTTTCAAAAGGAGCAATACAGAGTACATTCAACGTCTAGAAGAACAAACTTTCCAAAGTTTGACTTACTGCCTTGATTTCTCTTTCTAATAACGCCTCAGGACAGGTATATGCCCCATCATCATATGGACACATTATCACTGGTTCTCTGTTGTGCAAAATGTGGCCCTTGAGACATTCTCTGAAAAGAAAAAAGCAGTCAAAAGGTTATTAAGTACCAAACTGTCATATTCTAAATAAATGTACCCTTCTCTCTGTAGGGAAAATCAAGCGGACCAAATTTGACATCAGTTGGACCATTATAGGTCACTAAGGTCAGCACTCTAAAGTCACACCCTTCTAATTCATAATACACAGTAAGGATTGATGGGCCAATCCAAGGAGTTTCATCATGGGGATTCGAACCCATCAAGTAGCACCACAATAGATTCACTGTATCTAAAGTAAGCACCATAAGGGTGCATCCCTCTGTTATGTATTCACAATGTTCAGTGCAAGTTGATGGGCCAATCCAAGGAGTCTCCACATGAAGGGTTCGAACCCAAGACACCAGATGTGCAGGTCAAGCAGCATCACCCATGCCAAGTCTGTCTAGTTGCCATGAGGCAATACTTCAACTGTTGATCCACCAGAGAGGCCACCACTACACCTCTCCCATTGACATGTTTCAGAACTTGGGACTGCATACTCACTCGCAGAAAGTATGGAGACACTCTCGAAGCAAAACTCCCTCTCCCGCTGGGACTGGAGTATAACAGATGAGACATTCAAACTCCTCGGTGTTAGGGATGAGATCTACTGTATCTGCCATCAGGATAGCTTGGAAGTTACTGTCACGATTTCGCTTTTCTTCTGTCCTCTGTTTTCTCTCCATCTGAAAAAAAAAATGCATAGCTGGATATCTTGGTTGCTTTTTTTTTTTATAAACATGTGATGTGGTACTCCTGAGGGGAACATTGCTACCTAAAAAATATCTCTTTCCGACTGACCCAATGAGTTAGATCAGGTATTTCTAGCCCCAATATAAACGTAAGCACAAATGACAAGACATTCCAAAACCAAAGATTACTGGCATAAGATTAGCACCGAGTCAATTAATATAGCAAAGGATTTCCCACAGGACTCAAGATTTTGATTAAACTAACCTTGGGATAGCAGACTAAATTGAAATTTAAGCCGCAGTAATACCAATTGACAGTGTCGGGGTCAAATTATATACAGAGTGTATATAGATCAAGAATGACATGACGATATTAACCTGATGGTGCCCACAATCGTCTCCTGGTGACAAAGTCCTCCATTATTGCTACAATTAAATCGTGAAATGCAACACAAGACAAGCGTAGACAAGACAATAGTAGGTGAATCTTGCTGGTTTCCACAAGACAGAAAAATAACTGTATTTAGACATCCTACTCCAGATTACAATACGATGATTTGTTCTTCAAACACAACTGGCAAGAAAGAACTCACAAATTATATTTGGTCCATGTTTATGTTCTTGTACAAACACTCTTACACATGTACTTTCCAATACTGAACTATATGTAATAGGGTATGATTATATGCAAACTCTATAATCCATCAGCGTAATCATTGGATGTGAATCCTATTCACTGCCAAAATATCCCGCACATACCAGTAGATTGGAAGGGCATTCATTCACACCATGTACTATTTGCTGATGATACAGCACAGCTGGAGTTAGCAGTAGAAATTTTAAGGTATAATTAGGTAAAAACTCTGTGTTGTATTCAAAATGAATCTTCAATTATACTACCTTCAACAGAAGGACTTATTTGGCCCTACTTCTAAAGCTACCGCTTATACTAAAGAATATGGTAAATCCCATTGGCATTGCACTTTAATGTGACCGAGTACATGTACATCATTATCAGGAAGAAGTTACTGAGGTTTTTTGTCATTACAGCCAGGTAAAATGAGCACATACGTGAATTGAAACTGAGTTGATTTTTCATACCATTGTATTATTAGAAGTGTTGTTATCCTCTAAGATTATCAGTAATACATTTACATGTAATCTAATAACGACCGGTAAGGATGAAACTGCCTTTCTTGATGTGTTCATAACATACATGTTGACAGCAACAGAATGAAGGAGCCATTTTGGACAATGTTACTTCCCTTGAAAAGACAAACAGACCAACCAATAACTTGTTTAGATTCTTTATCCCAATAAAAGTTGCTAGAGGATGACAGTCACAATGCAATAGTTTCGAGGCTTCTGTATTTTATATACAAGTGTAATCTAGTACACAGTAGGCACCACACCCACACTTTGCATATTAAGGTGGAAAATAACGGCACATTTCCGTGTACAAGATCCAAAACAGATCTGATTGACTTCAGGTCCAGGATGTAATTGGGCAGAAGTTATTTTATTTGAGCGATATATGGCTCGAGGGAAATACTAGTCACTTTCAAGGTCATTGTAAGTCACCAGACCCGTTGAACTTAGGTACTCATTTTCATCCTCTAGAGACGACAACCTTGTCAAGTCTGGTTCCTGGAGTACAGCAAGGCTCTGAACAAAGTAAAACAAGAAAAAAAAAGAAGATCAGTCTAAAATGCTGCCAAAAATCTGCTTTTTTTCCCATTTTAGATACAGATCTTGCTATGCTTATCTCATTTTTCCTCACTATGTTTGGAACCAGACTAGAGAACAAGGTTGACCTTCTCATATATTGGCTACTACTTCTTATATTAAAACAGGATGTCTTCGTGTGGTTGTTCTTCAAACTCTCTCGAGAAGACATCAAAAGCACATTAGAGAAACACTTGATGCAGAATGCATGCGGTGAACTAATGGATTTTATGTTAGCTTTCCTAATGCAAGATTTAACTGCCGCTAGAGATGGATAAAATCTTTTTTTTTTCTTGCAGAATAATTCTTCCATTCCCTGTCCTTCGGTCCATTCACTGGCTGTCTATACAGAAAACTACCCCCTCTCTCTACTTCCCCACCCTCTTTCACCTCCATCCACCCCCCCCCCTTACGAAATAAAGGGCGGGCTGAGGTTGAGGTTATAAAGAAGATCTTGAGCATCACTCCACTTTGTACCTATTCTTCATGCATCAATCAAAATCCATTATTTTCTTAGTAAATCTTGACTCTTGGTTGGGAAAGGAAAAAGAATCCTCCAATGTCATCCACTGTGAAATACTCTAAAACAAAGTACAATCTTTCTCCGGAAAAGTAGCCTCAACAATCTCTTTTTCAGACAAATAATTAGAAATTGACTAACCTCTTCCATGAGTTTCTCATTGCGACGCAGCTCATCTTGTTTTGCTTTCTCTTCAGGGTCCATGATGTAAGAGTCTGGGTCTGGTATTTGGTAGTTATCAGGTCGGTCTTCCAAGCAGGCCCTACAGCCTGGTACCGTTGGAGGGTTGATGAGAGTACAACGCGGACAATGCCATCCCACCTAATCCAAAAAACCACAGGTAGAAATCAGGGTTTTTATCACGGAGATTATCTACAAAGAAACCATACCGAGGTAGAAGGTTGAATGGAAAAGAAGGACATTAAAACAACGACACAAACACCCCAACAACCCAACAAACAAACAAACAAACACCCCAACAAACAAACAAACAAACAAAGAAACAACCCAACAAACAGGCAAACGTAAGGTTGATGGCATCAGAGTGAGTGGCTGCATCACCAAACAAAGAAATTACAAGTGTAACAGATGCATGTTAAATTTTCCTTAGTTCTAATACAAGAAGTTTCCGCCCTAGAAACAAAATATCAATGCAGACTGTGCAGTGAATTATGTGAATGGTAGTCGAACTCCCACTTGTCTGTCATAAGGCAAGCTCCCCAGGAAATGGCCCCGTTTCTAGCCACGCCTACCTCTTCAGCTGTAGGCTTCTTGGGTTCTGGAGGTACTAGAGGTAATGGAGAGACAGGGCTGGTGGCTAAATCCCTGGGTGGTTCCCTGCCTGCTGCTCCTCTGCTGGGTAGCGTGGGACCAGCTGTGGCACCCCGCATCTGAAAGGGATTCCTTTGTGGCCCTGGGATGGGAGCTGGTCTCCTTGACATGTCTAAAATGTCAAGATGTTGTTTAGTAAACAAAAGTGTACGCCCTCTGGAAATATATTGAACTCTATAAGTGAAATAGGCGAATACAGAAATTGCACATTTATCAAACCTGTCCCCAGGGCACTTGCAAGAAAAATATTAAAATTAGATGATTAAGAATTATCAGACAGAAAATGCACTGAGCTTGTATTCAACAGAAGGGAGTATATTATGTTTATGATTACTGGTAGTGGTCAGTGCTTCTTTGCATTGTGAATTGCTTGACTTAAAACCTGTTCATATGGTATGCGGTGTAAAAACAAACAATCAAATCTTTGTTCATGAAATTCATAATAGTTGAACATGCTTCAACACAAATCAATTTTCCACGTACACATTTCACGATAACAAAATCTCTTCTACTTTACATTTACTCAAGGTCTGATCCAGTCTCTAAGCTGGTATATAGGCTGTTACTCACACTGCATCTGTTGAGCCTGCATGGCCTGCAAACTCATCTCAGTCTCTTCTTGTGTGATGCCAGCCTTTTCTGCCGAGATCAGGTACAAGAAGACGGGAGTGCTGGAGTTGATACGACAGTCCATCAACGTCTCTGTATCTTTGATGATTCTCCTGCCGATGATCCAGCGTTGAACCTCTACTGGGAAGCTGTAATTCTGGAAAACCTTTTGGTAAAAAGAAGCAATGGAAGACTTTAACCCCCACGATGGTGATCTGAAGTGACTTGGCCTGCAGAATAGAGAGCAAGATCTGACTCTTAGAACCTTTCTGAAGACTTGTGGGGAACTTCAAAGCTTCAAAACAATGCTGCTCGTATTACACTGGCCCAACCAAAATACACACACGCCTCTCCACTGCTTCAACAATTACACTGGTTACCAGTCAGACAATGCATCAAGTTCAAAACAGCAGGATTCCTGCACAAGCACTTCATAGTACTATGCCGCAGCATATAATGAGATCACTCAATCTTAATGCACCTAGCCGTTGTGGCCTTCACTCCTGTGACAATCTGAGAGTTCCAAGCACATTCAAAAAGGCGGGGGACAGGTCCTTTTCAGTGTCTGGTCCCCGATGCTGGAACTCCTTACCACGCAACATCCACAACATCAGTTCCTTTGACAAATTTAGAGGTAGACGTGAAATTCTAGTTCAAATCATGTGGAATGTGCAGATGTGATTTTCAAAAACATGTCCTGATGCTCAGTGGTGTACTGAGGACTTCTCGTGGGAGGCTCGAACAGGACTCCTCCCCACCCCCACAGACGGACTGGGATTTATGGCTATGTCAAAGCTGGTAGTTTAAGATGTAGGTGTGTACTGTATCTCTTTTTTTTCACCAAAAAAATCCCACTAGCACCTGGGGGGGAGGATTGGGTAAGGGGCTCAAGATCCCTCCCCCAGCCTCCCCCTTGGGTGGGCCACAAGTATGCTTTGGATGCTGCATAAAAACGACACAAATTTAAAGCAACAATTACACAAAAGTAAACTATTTCATCTTAGACCGAAATGTTAGCACTCACCAGCTTCTTGAGGAATGAAATGGTCATGTTTGGGTTCACATCAAGCAGCTTAATTTTAGCCCCAGACGAGTGGCGATCTTCTACAAATACCTCTAGGCTATCAATGGAACAAACAGAAAAAACCCAGCAGTGATTACATCCTAAGGGAATGTCAGCTAACAATTACTGAGCTCAGACTCCACACTGTGCCCATCATTGCCTTTATGGTAGTAAGTGATACTAGGTGAGGGATCTTATCTCCTAGGTTGAGATTAACCAGATACACATGTAGATCCCTCTGTAGGTACAGCTAGTCAGCATGTAGGCCTCGTTTTCATGACATAAAAGGTTGCTAGCATCTATTACTATTCTTGTAGTACAGGTATTACATTCAAACTGTTTTTCTTTGTGAAAGAAAGAAAAACAGGACAGAGAAGCAGTTAATTTCCCAAGGACTGACAACCTTAAAAGTCAACTTTTAAGGTTGTCAGTCCTTGGGTTGACTATGCATTGGTGTAACCCAAACTGGACAGCCAAGTCATATGCCAATTTTGAACATTTTCTCAATAAATGAAAAAATGACCTCCAATGCCGAGGAGGGGATGCTAGGGACATACACATGTCTGCCATGACACATGTTCTAAGTCCAGCTCACCTAAATTTACTACGAACTCCTGGTACATCGCCGATCTCGTCCACAGTGATGCTGAGTTTGGTTCTCTTCTTAGCAAGGTTAACAGCTGCCTCACTGGCCCCTGACCCATCACCACTGGCTATGCTCCGCTGTAGAGTGGTCAGTAAAGAATCTGACCAACAAATGACAATAATAGGGACAAAATGTAAGTGCAATTTGGCAGGTGTATTGTTTCTGTGCACAGTGCTTGTAATTTAGTTGCATGGGACTGCTGAACAAAACACATTATTTCCCAGGAAATGTCCAAAGCAGTAAAACACAATATACATCTACATAAAATCAAATTCTGACTGGTAATTTGCTTTGGCTCGGCAAATATTTTTCGCTTGAGTCTTAGGAACTCCAAGGCCACTGAATTCAGTATTTGCTGTCTGTGCAATATGCAGATTTTGGAGCTTGAGTTTTTTTCAGATTTAGGCAGGCCAGTCTTTACACTAGGACACAATGATTTGTTTTCAGCCCTGAATCTACCGTACATAACAAACGACAAACCTAAAGACCAACTATAATTCTAACCACAGTCAAATGGAACACTCCACCAGCCCAGCACAAATGGAAGGAAACGAACAGGGATAAATAACCTCTGTATTCATCCAAGGTCATGTAGGTAACATAACCACAAACAGCAAACCAAGCAGGATTGATCCTGTACATCCAAGGTCATGTAGGTAACGTAACCACAAACAACAAACCAAGCAGGATCGATCCTATACATTCAAGGTCATGTAGGTAACGTAACCACAAACAACAGACCAAGCAGGATTGATCCTGTACATCCAAGGTCATGTAGGTAACTTAACCACGAACAACAAACCAAGCAGGATCAATCCTATTACAAAGGATGTGGCCAGGTTTTTAACAAAGCTTAAATTTTTTAAGACATGAAAGAGACCTGCTAGTCCAATACTGGCGCCTGAACTCAAGTAACAATGGACTTGAACCTATCCTTATTGATCCTTCACCTGTTGAAGGACTGAGGAATTGTAAGGTTAACAAGGAGTTTATGAGACAGCCACTTACCAACACCTGATCCTCTTGCTGAAGCTTCAAACCCGCTGGCTGTGCCACCGATGCCAGCCATAGGAAGAGTAGCTGTCTTGGCTGCCATGGGTGCCTTGGATGACGCTTCTAAGAAAAACATTACAACCCTGACATGACATATGGGAAACCTTTACATTCCCACATTGTGCATTCCACGCGGTTGTTTTGCTACAATATACGATATTTTGCATCCTGTATGGGTCAACTGGTGAGAGTGAATCTCAATGCGAACAATTGGTATCGTTATGGAAACCTTTTATTTACTTCCTGGTATCACATACATATCAGGGAAAGCTGAACAAACTTACCAGAATATAAGAACATTACTGTCACCATGTCGAAGAATATTTAGTCACTTGTAAAGGTTTATTAGCGCGATGGCATTGACAGTGCTAACAGAATTATATGGTGTACCCTGCATGCAGTTCTGAGAAGAACATGTTGTACTTTGCCCAGATTAGACTTGTACAAGTAAGCACATGAAGCTAATTGAACTGTTTCAATATGGGCATTTCAGAATAGTGCACCTCCAAGAGTTTGCAACGCGTTGGCCAATCACAATGCACGAAATCCGTCGACCCAATGTGCATTTGGAAGGGGTCGACAGATTTTGCACACTGTGATTGGCCAACGCATTGCAAACTCTTGGAGACGTGCTATTGTGAATCGCCTGTATTTCAAAGAAAAATCAACACAAACACTCATTGTTTTCCTCTTTCAAAATCTCTTTTTTCAATTGGAGGTAATTAGATATTACCTAAAATGCAGGAAAAGTACCCAAAAGTCTATTTCCCAAAGTGTGTTGTGCTGTAGATGCAAACTGTGATTTTCTGATAAGTTCTTTTTTTCTGTCAAACAATTAAATAATCAGCAGCAAATTTACACATGAAACACATTGAAAATAGAATGGACAGTATGTTCGAGCAGCGTACGTAATGCCAAATTCAAGCTGAGAATTGTTTCTTTATCCCTTGCAATGGTTGCTCAGAGGAAAAGGACTGGCCCCAAGCATCCAAATGAGAATTTGCTTTCAGAAAGAAAATGAAACTTTCTCTGAAGATAGACAAAGGAAGACAGAAGAGGAGGTTGCATGTTCATCCCATGTGGCTAACAAGAGGTACCAGCAATGCAAAGCAAAATGGAAGAAGTCCCAGATGGAGTAATTGGGGGTGAGAATGATGATGGGTGCTAAGGTTCAGATGAATCCACTCCAGGTATATGTTGCTGGGGTGGTTATTAAATATCAAAGCATCCATGTGAATGTAACACACTACAGATTTCCAAATTTTCCAGTGTGAGTTCTGGGCCAAAGGCACACCAAAAAGCAAACGTAGGTAATGCATTGACCCCGGGCAAATCCATGCTTGTTGAAAAAAGACTGCACACACAGCTTATATCACGAGAAATTGTATGCATTCTGCAAATGACAAGCAGTGCACAAGCTGCCCAGGAAATCCAGGAAGTAATTTTTGTTGATGTTTGGCATTGTTTTAGATTGACAGACCATCACACCTAATACAGTCATGAAACTGGCGACCCATGATATTAAATGTTTGTGCCATCAGGCAAAGCGACCGCTGGAAGCGAAATGGCGAATCCCCCCCCACTTTTTGCAGGTCCTATAATTGGGTGGGGTATAATGGATTGACCTATCAATGGCTGATGCCTGATGGTCTAACAACTGGCCCCCCCACTTTTAAAATTCTTCTGCTGCCGCTGAAAGTGACGTTGTATTTATTCAGTTAAGGATGAAAGTTATTTTGCCCTGCTGTCATAATAGGATGCAACACTCCTAAGAATCTTTTTTTGTTAGAATTCCGTGCAATTTAAGATGTGTGGCTGAAAGAGTGAAGCCGAAGCAGCTGTGACAAGACTGATTCACAGGTGGACACCCAAAGTTTTCTGTTTCTTCAGAAATAGCAATAAGCAAGTACTTAGAATTTTGCACCTCCATGTATGAGCTACCCCGTACATGTAAATCGAAGTTTGACAGATAAATGTTGTAAATGTAAAGTGTTAATACCAGTTCCATAACGAGGAGCAGGTCTTGGCGGCCGACGAGGCACCTGTTGATTTTCAGAACTTACTCCACTGGTATGGTTATGTTGTGTACTGGAAGCTGCAATCATTGTCACAGAATAGTGTGATTTAAAACTCAAAGAAATTAACTCTCACAAAAGTTGCCTTCAGATCTAGAAGATTCGGCGGGATAAAGCAAGCATGTCATTGTCTGAAAAAAAATGTCTATTGATATAACGGAATGTTGCGGAGGCATAAAATAAAACGAAGAAGCATGAAAACAAATTTGAAATCTCGCTATTTTTACCCATTATCTCTCGCTCCGTTTAATTCTGTCTCCATTCACACACATGTAACTAGTTCAGATCTCTTTATGGATACTACTCGCTATTTGACTTGCCAAGCTTTTAGAAATGTACATATGAGTCAAATTTGGGAATATCTACATGTAGAATTCATGACAGAGCAAAGGTTACTAAGGCTAAGAAAAGGTGACAGGGCCAACACACTTCAATCTCAGATACCAATATGAAACCACATCAACTTTTCTTCCTTGAAAAAATTCACACAACTGAGAGATATACACATTGTACATCCTATTGTCTGTCAGTCATGTTTGCCGAGTAATAAAGTCTCAAGCATCAGAAATGCTACGCTGAGGAAGGCTAAACACAGGATAGTTCATACCTTGTTGAGTGGGTATTGTCGGTGATTGTGGTGTGGTCGGATTGGGGGTCTGATTTGTGGTCATATCTTGATCACGAGAAGCTGGTCAGCATGCATTGACACCAACGACCCCCGAGGGAGAAAACAGATCTAAAATCAGACTCTGCTGGCATTGGTTCACTTGTACATTAACTTTACGACGAAAACTATCCCCCCACCCCAGAATACTTACATTTGTAGTCCTTTTCATCGGTACCTGGATAATTCTTCTATGGTTTACTTAATGCATACTAACTGAACACTAATTTACAGATGAAACTAAGGCATATTGAACACAATATAGTTTTACCCAAACTAAGTCAATCACTCATAGTAATTTCATTTAATTCTTTGGAGACTAAGTACATTAATTGATAACAGTAGAATGACTGGTTGGCGATCAACATTTGCAGGTATTTTATGGCACGTTCTTCAGTTGAAGATTGTGGAAGGCAGAACTATAAACATGAACCCTGGTACAAGACTCCACAAGGACAATCAATCAGGACCTGTTCTCTGAAACGGATCTTAATACTCACGAAATGATTTTAAATTTCGACTTCAGTCTATACACGTACCTTCAGGTTGCAGTCAACAAGATCAAAAGTTCATGTACAAAACTACGTCTGCTCCACAAAAGCCAAATTTTTGCACTCCAGGTCTCCACTGGTGTATTTCCAAGAAGACTTCTTCACTGCCAATACATAAGTACTGCCCTCCACACCAGCACAACATACCTTGCTCCAGGCTGCTGCATGTAGCTACCAATGACGTACGTGCCAATGAACCTTAGCAAAATAGTACCTTTCTGATCCCACTTGCGGAAATGAACCCATCCCCCTGTGAATTAATCAACCAGTCCAAGTTCAAGGCATGTCATTGGCTGCTAATAATAGCCTGTATCCAGAGTGTACACAATGCAGGTACAGTACACTCTATAACTTGGTAGCAGCAATGGGGAAATCCAGAACATTTACAAATTATATGCCCACACAGTCCACAAACGCCATACTTCATCAAGGGACCTGCTCTGTATTTGTGACAAGCCAGAAATTATATTTTCAGATAGCTGACAAATAATGTCAAAGAGGAGGCTGGTGCCAAAGATATACTTTCACATGAGACCAGGTATACTAATTTCAAGAAAAATCTAGCCAAATTCAACTACCCCAAAACTGTGCTTACCGTGGAACATGGAAACTGTTCAAATTTTGTAGGGTGTTTTCGAAGCAAATTAGGCCAAATTCTTGTTCCTCAGATCCAACGGACCCACAGCGAATAAGTTGACAAACAAAAACATCCATGGAATCAACCAAAGTATTTTCAGAACTTTTTATCTAGCCTAAATATGAATAAGTCATGCATGGCCTCTCAGTGTCACCTCTGCACTTGAAAGGCGACAAGGAAGTAGCTGACGAAAAACACTGTAACTGCAGCTCCCTTGGAATTGATGTGTACTTGAATGTACGTGGGTCTTTACAATTAAGCCTGGGCATACCCTGCAAGGATATTCTTCACAGAATTGGACAGTTGAACCTGTAACGGTTCGGCCACAAAAGCAACATAAGAGCCATTCTTACCAGCAGAGATTTCAGGGTTCAGTCGCAGTGATATGTGAACGCTGCAGGAAAAAGAACTACCAAGCAAGAAAAAGGCACGGCATCAAACAGACTCTGAGGTCACCCACCCTCTGAACTCACCCCTGGATTTCAGCTCCTCGACGGCATTCTTGAGGAGGAGGAAGAAGTGGTCCTGATCTTGAGGAGCATTGAACTTGAGGCAGAATTTCAGAATTACTTCGAGTGGATTGGCCGATCCTCTTAGATTCACCTGAAGCAGATGATCTGAAATCTTCTTGACGGAGCCAATTTGTCTGGTGCTTATAAAAATTAGACTCTGTAAGGAAGAAAGTACTGCAATCTATCAAAACAAACTATGCCGTGGTCTTCTTACACTTTTCCAAAGATTCACTAATACCAATTTTTCCAAAATTTTATTGAGCTGTGCATGATCATCAAACGATAATACCAAAATCAGTGCTGTATTTGGGTCCATTGCCAGTCCTTTCACAAGTCCAGTCATAAGTAACTGGGTGAACAATGACAAAGGAATGCTTTTGTCACAGTTCATTTGAATGGCTTGTGAATTGGCTTGAGACAGAAGCACTTGTGATGGACTTACAGAGACATGGGACGGACTCGACTACAACACAACTTTAAGTTTGTAAATGACATTTAAACTTGACATAAATCATGCATTTGCTGCACTGTGGGCCCTTAACCTGCCACGGCTGAATGTGGTGATTGATTGATGAGTGTGCCTACATACACGCAATGTCACATGATGACGTCAACACTGTGGTGTTCATGTGAAATTTCCAACACACAAAGCATTGGATGCAGCAGCAGCATCATACAATAATGCAAACACAATTCAAACAGGCCAAACTATGCTGAGTAACCAGCCAACCAAAGCAAAGTCCGGGATCAGTACATGTACGTCTACGTGTATGTGCCTTCACTTCATCAATGTTCCTTGTTTCTCTGATCTACTGCCCACGTAGTTTCGGGAAATGTATGATTGCAGAAACTAAGGTCTGATGAATTAATAGATGCAATCTCAGTAAGCAATGTACACAAATTGTGTGAAGTAAGTGAATCGTTGTGTGACCGTCTGATGCACTTTGAACGAGAGTTCTTGACTTCTACAAGTCATTATATCACGAGTGCGGCAGGAGATGAACAATGGGGAGCCGCCCCTCCCACTTTGAATGTCGTTCCACATACTTTCGTCACAGTTCATCAGAATAAATACGTAGTTTAGGACTCGACTTTACACAGAACTTGACTTTTGCCACTCATCGCCACTTTGGGATATACATGTATACTGACTTTTGAAACACTAATGGAAGGGGGATCTGGAGTAGCATGAAGAAGTCTCAATGAAGTCAAATATTTGTATACGATCGGTGTATAAATGACACTGTCATTAGCACTGTTCCAAAGAAGTACGTACTGGTACATTTACACTTTGAAGAGTGCCAATAATGGCAATGTACACCTCTGCGCCCATCACAGAAAGTCAAAGATTTTCAAATTTACCAGCGAGATGCATGTACGAGGTGCACTGGGTTCGTCCCACACACTTTTACTCACATCTGAATGTCTTGGGGAATCTGTGGATATTCTCAGCATGAAGTCATTTTCTCTTTGCAAGATGTAGAACTTGGCAGGAATGAAAGGGTCTTTCCACTTTCCGAGAGCTTCGTCGAATGTTTGAGAAAATGCTCCTCTCAAAACCAGTAGAGTTTCCTCCTTACTGGCTGTGATCATTTTAAGGAATTCACTTGTCTAGTAAATGACTCTTTCCTCTTTCTATAATAGTTCAAAACTATCGGCAGAAGAAAATATCACTTGATGACCTGAAAAGAAACAAAACCTTTAAGTTTTGGATTTTATAAAAAGACAAAATTTGCAAGCAAAGATAAGTTACAGAGTTTGGTAGAATTACTGTTAATCTACAAATTATAGAAAGTTACAGGGGAAGATGATGAAAATTGTCAGCTGAATTACAATACAGCTAGAACAAGAACGCAACATGGCACTTAGTTTCACATAAACCGTGTAAACACTGTGTAAATTATCTTGATGTAAACAACTTCCTTTTACCATAGAACAAGGACCAGATTTACACACCACCTTCTGAACACAATCACTACAATCGGGAAAAAAGGAAATTTCAACTCTATAAATGTATACGACTAAAATGCGCCCTTTACACCTTTTACAAGACAAGATCCCTTTTTGGATCCCCTTTTAAATTACATCCACCTCGCTGGTACATACATGAATTCCATGAGTTACCATGAACTGTTCATCATCCCAACCTGGGTACAAAGTCTGGCACAGTGCCAACTGGGTACACAAGTTGGCTTTCTGCCAAGTGGGCATCCAATGGGTGTAAGTTCATCCTTGGCATGATGCCAATTTTCTGACAAACTGTGGTTATTGGTCAGTTTTCTATCTTCTTACACGATAAATTGTTTACTACACAAGCAAAGCCTATAAATATCCTCATCAGAGTGGCGCCTGGTACAAAGAGATGGGGTAAAACTCCCCACTACCATGACAATCCGGCTGGGCGGTGATTTCCCTTGTCCATGCACAGTGACAATTAAGATGACTCATCATTAAACCACGCCCACACACACCTGTATCTTTTTTACAGCTCACTGCTCAAAATTCAACTGAAGTCCTTCCTCCCGTCAAAGTTCAAACAACTCCTGATGTTGTGATGTAGGATCCACTTTTATTCTCACTCCAGTAAAGAAATTTATCTAGCTCCGATGAAATTTGGGTCAGTTTTACAAACTGTTTATTCGGAGTCGATTACGTCAACAGTCAAACTTTCCACCTGTGCTGAAAAAGATTATAATTCCAAAATAAAGGAAACTGCCATTTTCACAGAACTGCATAAAAAATGGAAAAAAATTCAACACTGGTGCAATTCTGATTTCAAGTCCGCTCCAATTTTTGGGTGACAAATAACAAGATTTAACACAGTTTCAATTTCACAATTCATTGATCAGTTGATGGAAATTTCAAATTCCAAACACTCCTCTGTCTGGAAATGTTCTCATCAGTGCAAATTGCTGCAGCGTCATCACAGTGGGCTGGAGGACGAGACTAGCTAGAAGAACATGAGGACCAACTGGAGCTGGGTAAAACCAACTTCGGATCTTCGGAAAACCCAAACGCACGGCGGATGGCACAAAATGGTTGGTTGCAAAACACGTCACTTTTGTCAGATGGCAACATGGACAAAGCCGCACATTTTCAATGATCAAAGAAATATAAGGGTCAAAGGAGTGTCTGATTGGGGTTTTTTTGAGAAAATACCTGAAGCCTTGCGCAATCACTGCCGGGATTCCCCTATGATCATATCATGAGTGAATGACTCGCGCCGCGCGCGCATGCGCAATATCCATTCGTGTGTATTCCCGTTTTTTACGCGATATTTCTCGTGATTATGTACTTTTTTCAAACGCTGGAATCGTTAATATAAAGTTAACAACTGGAGTAAGTTCTCGACATGAGTTCAACTGAAATCCCTACTGTGATATTAACATTTTATTTTCCCATATTCTCATATATTAAAGTTTTGAAGTATTTATAGTTGGTAGTGACGGTAAACGTTGAAAAAAATCCCACAGATGGTGGTAAAGCCGCTTTCAATCTGAAAACGAGATTTCAAAAAATGACCCTGGTAACCGGTTTACAGTTAACGTGTTATCACTTACGCATTATTATTCAAAGGCAGACAACCAGTTTCATCCTGGAAATAACTTATCTCCGTGAAATTCGTGATCCTTGTGACGGAAGTGATCAACAGAAAAAAAGTGGATTAATTCAAGTTTTTGCCCACCCCAGTCCTTCGAAGTGCGGAACTAGTTCATCCACAAAGATTTATTTAGGTGGGCATAGCGTATTTAGGGAATTTAGGTGGAGTATAAGGAACATTATCAGCGACATTTGATCGTTAAATAATTTGTCTTCAAAACTGTAACTGTCATCGCGCAATTTCAATGGAGGGCTTGTTGATAGTTGACACAAGAAATTCGATGTCGAGCTCCGATTCCTGCTTCGATTTTCCTCCGTCTTCTCCATCGAACTGCATTTATCATCCAGTTTTTGTCATCAGAAGTAAAAACGCTCACTGGTGTAGGAGTAGTCTACCATCAATTTTTGCTTGAAGAAAAGTAGAAAGAAGCTTGAGACGTGACAGAAATCCGCTGAGAATCAACAAAGAAGGAATCAAAGTACATTGTCGTGGTGTCGGGTGTCATTTGGAGTGTGACTGCTGTGAAAATCTTTGGTGCAAACATGAAGCTTTTGGAAAACCCAAATCTGGATGCGATTGGTAATGCCCTTACCATTGAAACTGGTGACTGCAAGATCTCAGGAAGGTAAACATTCTTCTTTCGTGTCGTTTTCTTTTTTTTTCCTCCAATTGTTTCTGTTCTTTTTGGGGGGAGGGGATTCTTAGTAATGAGTGTGTAAGCCGCGCCTTGGCCTATTGTGATTATTTTTTTAAAGAATTCAGTATTCAGACATTCCACGCCGCCTTGTCATGCACGTGTTTTCATTGAGGATAAGTCAGACTCAGTCAGAAACTGAAATTGTATGAGGAAAAAGTTGTTTGAGTTATTTTTAAAAACTCACTGATGTTTACAAAACTCAAGGAATCAAAGTTATCAGATATGGAACTCTTCCCAGTTTTAATCATGTCGTTTTTTTCTCACATTTACTATTTTGGCAGAACTGGAATATTTATTAATTCTTGATCTTGAGGTTCTGTCTTGATGATAAGTTGAGAACGATGAGTGAACCGGTGAATTTTTGTAGTTTGTAACATTTAAATGTCCTACCTGTATTATTTGCAAAACCACGTGTTGGTTGCATGACCATTGATCAATTGCACAGTACAGAGTTTGGGTCATGGATGGACTTGTCATGAAACTCAGATCTGTTTAATTTATAGTTCATGTAGAATTAGAAAACGGATTGAAAAGTTGAATACAATGTACATGTAGTTATAATGTAAAAATAGAGCCAAGGGCTGATTGCTGAATGCTGGACTGATGATTCATTGTTAGTGGCTTCATTGCCGAGTATACATGTTTGTATGTTCCTGTTCAGGATGCAACATTTGAAAATGAAACAGGTAGTAATGCTGAAGACTACAAATAGGAAAAAGTTTGTCAGAGTTTACATTTCATCTTTAATTGATTGACTTCAAGGCTTGAGAGTTACTCATGCAAGATGGCAGGAAATGACAAACGGCTCTTCAAGATGTTAAGCCAAGAGAATGGACACACCCCCGATGACCTTCAGGCTTTGTCACCACCTCAAACCCAGAGCCAGTTATCTCTGAGTCCCCGTGGAGGGGTCAGTCCTCAGGCAGTGGGCCTATACGGCACCGGCTCTGGTGAAGAGACCCACGGCCCACTCTGTCACACTTGCAGCCGCAAGATGATCTTCTACCTCATTTCTACCCTGAATGCTTCATTCAACCCTGACTATGATTTCAGGTACACTGTATGGCAGGTGGATCTAGTAGGACGGTGTTTGTGCATGTGTGTAGACAACAAGTTGAGCTGTAGACAGGGGCATACCCCCCAATAATTAATTCCAGTCAACAAATCCAAAATTATTACATAAATGATATATGTTGGCCGTCGGCCTTTCCTCTGAAGCATGGAATGTAGCGGACCAGAGATCACTTTGTGAATTTTACACAACACGAGGTTGGGGAACTACATGCACATGCAGTTACAAGTTGGCAAATTGACTCTGGCATGCTATGCCTCTGGCTGTAGATGCACATTGAATAGCCATCCCAGTGTGACATTCTGAGGGTTTAATAGCCCACTGTTCACGCTCTTCCAAATTTGATGTCCTTTCACGGATTTCCTAGAATAGAACAAAAATTGCACTTCTCCTAAATGTTAGTTAGGAATTGCCTATTACGTCTCAGTTATTTGTTTAGGGAATATTTGAACAAAAATACATGTAATAAAAACTGTGTAAAGTCTATTTTGACTCCAGTTTTTTCCTGTTAAATGATCTTTTTGAAGAACATCTCAATGCTTTGAAGTAACTGGAAGAATTGTAATCATTAACTTATCAATTGGAATCTTTCTAAATGTTCAGGGTTACTGAATGACCTATGTAATCTCGCACAAAGGTGTGAAAATGCATCACATATGTTTCTCAACATCATTTCCAAACTTTATGGACAGATCCAGAAGAAAAATTTGAGATTCTGCCACTGAGCAAGGGCTGCTGAGAGCCATAGTGGATTAAGTGATTGTGCTTTTAATTAATCTGTGTATCCCTCATGGATTAATACATTACCTCAATATGCATGTATATGTAGCGATGCGAAGAGCCATGAATTTAGTCGGGAACCCAGCTTGGATTGGACAGTCAATGCCGTGGACAGTAACATGTTCTCCACAGCTGGGGAGGTCTATGCAACCCAGATCAGACCTAAATTATGGGCTGCTGTCAACGATGAGATCTCACCCAACGAATGTGAAATTTACAGGTACCTACACTTTGAAAAGAAGTCATATTTACCCCCAAACGCCCTGGTAGATTTGGCCAAGAGGTGTCTTGAATGTGGTACTACACAGCAAACCAATGGCTCATTTTTTGCTGTGTATCAGCTATTACTTGGACGTCTAACTTTGATAATTAGAGACTTGTCTGAGCTGTCAAAGACCTGAATCTGCAATGTATAAAGATATTACATTAATATACATTAATAGTTGAAACAAACCTACTGATGATGTATTGGCTGTCTCTCCATTACTTCCCTGTTTTGTGGACGCTGTATCCTGATCATTGCATGAGGTCCTTGTTCCTCTTTACAAGATGAGTTCATGCATTGGAATCATTTCCTGCCAAACCTCTGTGACAGTGTTTTATTTGAGATCTGTTTTCATACTCTGCTCTGCTTATGAATGGGCAAAACCGGTTAATCCATTTTACAAAGGCTGAAAAAAGGACCACCCTGTTCATTGAACCTCATTAATAAGAAGTCGTTCACACTTGGCAAATTACCTTGTTATAACAGGAACCTTGTATTATCAGGAATGAAAACAGTGAAAAACAAAAGATTGGAACCAACAAATGTCCTTGTTATAAGCAGACTCTTGTAATAACAGTGCTCTTATTGACGAGGTTTGACTGTAATTTGGTTTATTTCCAAATGCTAACAATCTTTTAGTATGTGCATTGGATGCCATCAAAATTGTTCACACCAGTGTTTAAATTGATTGCAGTCTTGCGGCACTTTTTGAAAATTTGATCTTTTTAATCAGCATTGGTCCAATTAGTTTGCAACAATACATGTATGTAGTTGAGAACCACTTACACCAAGTTCACTTGGGCAATGAGAGAGGCCTTAGTGTTGTGACGGAGAATAAAGCGGCAAGTCTTCAACCACTCCAATCTTATTTTACCAGCTACAACCCTGACCTGGAATCAGATCCCTTTGGTGAGGAGGGTGTCTTGTGGTCCTTCAACTACTTCTTCTATAACAAGAAGCTGAAGAGGATACTGTTCTTTGCTTGTAGGGCCAGAAGGTAAGGATGGTCTATAATGTTAATGATTAGCATTGGCTTACACCTTGCATAGGATACCAATTCATTACAGGATACTGTCTGTTGACTTCAGTATTTGTATATACTCTTGAGCAGAGAGAGGCAAGTTGGCCCAATGATGCAGCACTCTGGCTGTTTATATCAAACACATTGACACTTTTCCATACCATGGCATCACTTCTACATAGACTTTTTCGTCGTGATATAGGCATATCCTGGAAAGCCAGTCCTTTCTGAATGGAGATCTCGATCCTTGTAATTACCAGATCAGTCGACAGTTCCTTACCTGGTTGGAAGTGTACCGCTTTCAGCCATTGCATTCCAAATGGGCCAATAGAGGCTAGATTTCCTGAACAATATCCGGAAACTGATCCACCGGATAAGAATTTGAAAAGAAACCTGTCACACTTCTGACTAGACTTTAAGCCTAATGTCCGAATTACTTGGCTGTGGCAACCATAGACTCGTGTGTAATTTCTAGCTACAGCCAAGTAACTTGGACATGACCTAACGGTCTGGAATCCTCCACCTACATGTACCAAGATATTGCACTTCAAATCAACTCCACCACTAGCAGAAGACCTACCGCAGACTTCCAATGTTGAATAACTTCCACTGCATTAATACTTCTGATTATGGCGCCAGTAATCATGACGTGAGACTTTTTTTCTATTGGTCACAGCCAAACTGCGGCCGTTGGGGCTGACTCTGGCATCGGAAGAGACTTTGACATGATGCTGGATGAGGAGATCTCTGATGATGATGACGATGTTGATGATGACGTGGATGAGGACAATGGCATGTACGTAGATGATGCCTACCGATATGAGAGGTAAGACCATAGTGATTCAACTCCTCTTTGGTATCCCAGGGTATCAGGATCTTAGGTCTTTGGATTCAGACTTGAGATTGATGGTTAGGAAACAGGAAGGTTTGTAATGTCACAGGGAGAATCCCATAATTGAAAAGCTGCTCTGTATACTGCAACAAACACTGACAAATGGAATTCAACGTGGTGCACATTTGGGGAATTAATGAGAGTAAATGTCAGAAACTTGGCTAAAATTTGAAGGACTTGCTTAGCCTAATCCTTCCAGATTCTTGAAAGCCGTCAATGTTTGGAGAATTTTGCAGGTGTATGGAAGGCAAAGCCTAACCCCTATTTAAGAACACTGGACTTGATGTCCCTTGAAAGTTTCAGCAAAAAAAGAATGCTCTGTTTGGATTCTTACCTAGTTTTATAATCTGGAGGATTTAGGAAGGTTGTCAGAAATTCACCTGTGGCATCAGTGCGAATTTCAATGTTTGTCATTTTTGTTTTAAAGGGTGACACCATTGATGTACTGAATGGTCTGTATCCTGTAGTGGGCTTCTGTTACATGCAGCCAGGAAGCGTAAGATTAAAGAAGAATGAAACCATATCTTATCAGGGCCTGAAATATGAAACATGGAAAGGATTGCAGGAAAGGCATTTCTTTGTTACTCTCAGAAAGTCCTTGTAGCAAAAATAACAAGGATTTATGTGTTTAATTTGCTTATGAGTGTTTGCATTTGGTTTTGGTTTTAAATCTGTTTGAATTAGCCTGCAGTGTTTGAGATGTTTTTACATGATATTAATGTTGTAAAAATTCAAAGTCTCACAACTATTCCTACGTTGCAGTCCTTTTGAATAATGATTTTTTACCATGGTTTAACAATCTTCCTTCTTGTTTCCAGTAGTTTTGCCTATATCCGCTCCAAGCAGGAACAAAAGAGGGCATGTTTTGAAATGAAATTGACAGTCATTTGGTACGCACTCACCGCATAGGCGCGCACAAGTTTATGCGCGTTTGACGCGGAGCACGCTGAGTACTTGCAATGAATTTAGTCTGGAATGATGGTCTTTGCGTGCACTCTGAATGCGTGAAAGAACCCGTTTTGGAAAACGTAGTACCATCTGTCTGTCTTTCGCCAGTGAGAGTGCATTGCAGCTCAGAGCAGATTGCACATTTGAGGAACATCTCAAGTAGTAAATTATTAGTTTTAATCTCTCTTAATTGAAAACAGGGTATCTTGGTGATAACTACAAAAACTTTGACAGTTTCCTTGTGCTGTAAGAGGATCCTTTTTCCTGATCAATACTTCAAATTGTTCAGGTGGGGAAGTTCTAATGAGATGATGGTTTTTATCAACCTGCTGACCTAAAGAAATCAGGCAACAAACGCCAGTAACTAAAGGTGTGAAAAAATTAACATGCTTTGTATCAGGAGACTTCACCATTCACAATAAGCCATTATCCATTTGCAAAAAAAACATTTGCTGTAAACCTTTGAAATTTGCTGCAGCATTCTGTTTCGTTACAGCCCATGGAGCTACCCTGCAGTTGTTTCCTTCTTTAATTGAACCTTGGGAGACTTGTCATCGGTTAAAGCCTGACCTCTCCATAATTTTTTCCCCATCGATGAATGAAAAAATACGCTGTTATTGACAGATGTGTACTCCGTCAATATTTCTCACTATTTTAATCATTCTTCTTTTCATTTGCAATAATCAATATTCCAATGTGTATAGTGTAAATAATCACAGACGTAAATTAACAGATGGATCTCTAGTTTCTTAGATTGTATAAAAGAGTGCATTGACACTTTTGTGATTGTTATGCCAGGGAAGATGGTTGTTTTATTTGTGGTCTTTTTTGATGACATTTTTTGTGATCGTGCTTTTGTCTTGATAGAATCATTGGCTCTTTCCGATGCATTTTAAGAAGCGTTCTCATGCACAGATTGAGTATCAGGCATTCATGGACTGTTCTCGTTGAGCAGTTCATTTTATTTAGTGGACTGTTTTTAATTTGTGGGACTGCTTTGCAGATGAGACGAGTTGTACAAATCAGAGATATTTACTGTCACCACGTTCCCTTTTAGTGTTGGAACTTAGGACATTACCTGATGCAAATCATATCCTTGCTGTAAAATATGATACTTTTTGTTGTGATGTTTGCATGCCAAGGAATGTATTAAAGAACTGTTTTGGCATAATTTGTTTACTGTGCAAAAATGCTTTTCAGTTCAGTGTGCATATTCATGTGCTTATACATGTATGCACTCATGTATGTTAAATACTTTAATGTTTATGTTGTGAACATATTTTTTGGGCTGTGTTAATAGTTTGATATTACTTGCTAATGTTGAATACATGTACATGTATGTAGTACTTGTTGCTGGCTGTTCAAGGTTTTTTTATGTTCACAGAGTCCACCAATTTATTGTACAAATCAATAACGGTCTTGCAGTAGAGGTTGGCAACATTTGAAGTGTCTCTTTTAAGTATTCATGGTTTTACTGTGGTTTTGTGGCTGTTCAGTTTTCTTGTTGCAGACGATGTGTTGAGAAAGTATGTTTTTGGTGTATCTGGAGTCAGTGGGGGGACATTGGGGCTTTTACATTCTTCTGTGTGAATGGTTTGGAAGTTGAACGTTAATTTGTTCTAAAGGAAACTGTCTTTGTTGATGTGTCGTCATTTTACCATGTACAGATGCTATTTAGAATTGATCAGTGTAAAACAGTGATGAGATGATTTTCACCGTGGTGTATTACTGTACCAGGAGTATACTGTTGGTGGATTACATTAAACTTGGTTTTGAGTAAAAAAAAAAGTCTGGACAGATGCTGCATTTGTCTTTTTTCTCAACAGAATAACTTGTGGTGTGATTTCTCAGGATTTCAGGATCTGTAACACCAATATTGTGGATTTGTAGAGGTTTCAACCATACAGGTTCTGCATTTTTTTACACTTAGTACACAAACCTACCAAGACACTTCCACTGTGACTACCAGACACAAACACTGGAAACAGGTTGTTTGGAGGTCCCTCCAGAAACAAGTTTATTTGTTTGAACTGTCCAGAGCAGGAGGCATACAAAGCGGCATGGCTGTGCATTTCTTGATATTACAAATTAACATAAATATTATAATAAAGTACACCTTTTTTGAACTACGAATTGACACTATCCGCAGAGGCCATTACATTATCTGACAATGCCCACAAAAAACACTTGTTACAACTTAGTAACCAAATTTTGTAATTGTCAACTGTCTCTGACCTAATTTGAAGGAGTTCATGTTATTTGCCCAAATGGCCTACTTTGCAAGACTTGCGTGACTGAATGAATGTACTCTACACGGACAGGGGATACTGCAGTTCTTGGTAGACTTGCTTAATCTGTACACTTCTGATCACACACCACTCTGTTTATTTCATAGACATGACTACCTTAGAACAAACCCCAAACTTCCAGGAGTTGGACCCCAGTAACTTATATCTGACACAAACACTTTTTTGGTAGATACAAAGGCCCAAATCCACTCTATGGATTGTCTTGTTTTGGGCATTCGACATCCACTTTGGGGGTTAGATATCTCCATGTAGTGGGACTGGGTGCTTCGTGTTTTCATTGACTTGATTTCTGAGAGACTCAGAAGTACATAACAGTAAAATAAATGTAAAAAGAAAAACAAAGTTGTGACTTTAATATAGTTTTCAAGACGCTTTCTTCCACCTCATTCAAATTGGTGAAAGTGGAATCTGGCAAAAAAAAAATCTTCCAGGAATTAATTATCCAAATTGTCCTTTTGTGGTCAGTGGGCCTACGTCAGTCTGTGTATTGTGAAAGAAAGAAATGTAAAAAATGTAAAATTCAAGAAGGATTGGAAAATTCCAGAAAGATTCCTTTCGCTACTTTTGTAAATGTTAGAGATACACAGTGTTGTCCATTGAAAATCGCATCAGTTTTATTACCATTTTAAAGTAACTGCATGCATGTGTGTGTAAACACAGATCCATGGGTTTTCCCAACTGGATAGCAATTGCTTAATACAAAAATATTGAAGATTTTAGAATTTCTGACGAACAGTAAAAAAATGAATGTTCTGCAATAACATTTCACAATTATAAATATTCAATGGTGCAACATACATGCATCTGATAACATCCATGCTGTAACTCTTACATTGTACATGTTTATCAGTACATAAATTGAATTGTGGTGTGGATCAAACTACATTATTTACAAGACAACTTGACCCCAATTCTATGAATGAACTAAATGAATAAACAACTTTTCAGATTGGACAAATAAGATGATTTAGTTTCATGGGTTTGGTTCTATTTACAATACATGCATCTGTACAATCAATCATGGAAGTTCTTTATACTCATGCTCATTTGAATAATCCTGAAGACTCTCTTAATTGATTCTACCTGCAAAGATTTCATGCTCTTTTCTGCTGCTTCTTAAATCTTGAGGCTCTGTTACTTTTTAATAACTGGATAGAAAAGCATGAGCATATAAACAAAAACTGAGTTAAAGGTTGTTAGAGTTAACAAAATAAAATCCTAATTTTGTTATGAATACACGCATGACTTCGGTCGAAGATTGAGTTAGTAGATAAATTATCATCAAAGAATAGCCTCCCCAGATGTGAATCGAAAATCAGGAGTTGACAAAATTCGATATAGAAGGAATTCTCTGACCATCGCTGGTAATGCAGCCCCATCAACTGTTGTGCTTCTCAGTTCAACAATGAATCCAGACCTTTTTGAGATATCACTCTTTTAGCCTTGTAAATGGCAAACTTGGGAGAAAATATACACCGCATACATACAAGATGGGACCCATGTTGATTGAAGAACAAAAACCTACCATCTCCAGCATACCATACTAGCGCATGAATCAGTTAAGCTATCTTGCACAATCTCAGTTGTCTTTCAATATCTCAGCATCAAGTACTTGTGGGTTATTTTACACAGATTCAAGAACTTTTTTTCTAACGTGGCACCTGCTACATCTGTGTAAGTAAATAAAGATACAAAATGAAACTGTTGCCCACTAAATTCAACCTGTTTATTTCAGTTCTTGTTTTATCAAACGTAGGATAAACCAAATTACTTAGATAATAAATTATGTCATAATTCCTGTCTGTTCTTTACTTATGGATGAAAAAACTTCTTTTTTCTTCAATCTTTAGTGAACCACATCCAAGTAAGTTTATGTACATGTACATACATTAATTATAGTTGAACTTCACACTGTAAATTTTTCATCTTTCCACTTTGTCTCGTATAGCAAGCCAATGCTGCCCTATAAAAGGGCACATGAAAACTTGTAAAAGAGCGGTTACGTTTCTTAATATGTAAACAGAAAAGAGTAACAATGCAGATTGTTACAGACTCACACTATTATCTCATCATATGTTGGAATTGCTGAATTTACGAACAAAAAAAATGTTTACTGAGCTACATTGATGTAGGCATGCAGATGTTTTTTTGCCAATTTGTTCTCTGATCTGTTGGTGTAATTCTTGCTAGTTGAGTGCTTGCTAATGCTCCCGACATGAAGAGCATTGAAGGGTGCCATACTAAATCAGCTAGGATTCAATATGTGTAGTGAAAAAGTCTGTGCACGGCAGGTAGCTTAGCATTGTTAGATTTTTGTAGCAAATATTGTTATGATTTAGAGGATGAAACAAAGAAAGGTTTGTGAACAACTGTAAATCTCCTCAACCAATGATGATTTTCAGTCACTCCGCCGATGAAATTCTGTAAAAGGAACACGTAACGGCTGCCTGGGGAGTGTCTTTCTATAAGGACGGTCTCGTTGGGTTGGACAGTTTAACTGTAGGCCCACTGTAACATCAAGTTGCTGATGAGCAGGAGACTTCAGCTTGTTACCAGTGTCGTGCAAACTACCAGCCATATTCCAAACTCCTCCAACCTGTGTCAATATGACTAACAACCACAAACTGGTGACCTTTCCTTCTGGCCTCTGTTATCACCTCTATCCTCTGAGCTGACCAGCTGAACGGTCATTTTTGTATAGTCTGGTACCAACAGTAATGGACCACTTTGGCCAGCACACTATACGTAAGTTTGGTCGCTTTGCTCACTGTTCGAGTACATGCAGATGTAAGCATCTCCAAGCAATCGATTCATGAGCTCAGTCAGTTGCTTGCTTTCAATCCTTCTCTTGAGTTTGTCCACGTTAACCCAATCCCGGAAGTCCTTGAGGTGACTGATCTGAGGGATGTTGTAACCCGGTTGGTCACCTAAGGAATAAGAATAGGTTTAGAGGCGTTAATTGTAACCAGGGTTGACCCCGCACAACAGACCATCTACACCGCATCACAGCAAGGCCATCTAACAGTACGGTGGTGTTTCCACTTTTAATAGATCAAACACTAACCTTGCCGATCTGCCATACTGTCAAAGAACACCCACTCAGAGTCCTTCTCTCTCCCCGCCTTGACAAACGCCACGTAGTGACTGGTCCGGATGCAGATGACAGCAAACAGGTCCATCAGTTTGAGAGTCAGCATCTTCTGCCGATGGGCATCCACCTGCTCATCTGTGTAACCCTTCTCCATGGTCTTGGAGTAGAAGCTCCTCATGAATTCATCTGGGACCTCAAGCTGAGTGGGCTGATGGCGCTCCCTCTTTGTCCCAACATGCATCTGGGTTAAGACAACGGAGAAGTAGAATGTAAAATATTACTGTTGACACTGATAGTTGCCTGGGCAGGTTGGCGCTGATTTGTGTTATTCACCTGTTGGCCACATTGAATTGAAAGTGAGGTTAACGTTTTTTCATTTTGGCATCAAGGAATAGAAATGAAAGAACTAAAATAAAACTTCATTCCAAATTAAAGTCACTGATGCTCATGAAGACTTTAAAATTTGTGACTTATTACATCTAATGCCACGTTAAACTAAAGAAACTGAGACATGGATTTCAAAATAGTCTGGCACCACCCCATTCGACAGATTAAATTGAATAAAATTGATTCTGGGAACACAACAAAAATGGCTTATGGGTCTATTCAGCTGATTTTACCCATGGACATTTCATGCCATGCACTCCCACGAACTACCTACTAACATCTGTGGTTCAGTTGTTCTTGTGATTGAGGTTACATAATGACACTAAAATTCCTCCAGGTACTTTAGTCAACTTTGGTCTTTACAGTTTGTGGTACATTCATGATGAAAAATAGCACTGACCGTAAATGTAATGTGTGAATGCCATGTAATGACATTTCAGCAAATGACCAGGGTCTGTAAGATAGAATTTCCAAGGGAGTGAACAGTGACCGAGCAGGAATAATAAACTCTTCCTGGATTCCTGTTCATTAGCTGCCATGTAGTTTCTAAAACTGCGTTTGTTGGGAAATAATGGAACAGGATTTACCATTTCAAAGCAATTTTTACAGTAATTCTTGATGTGACTTGCTTCCACAAATGCCTCCTCCGATTTGCAGGAGTTACACTCAAAGACTGCTAGGTTGCCGCATACTATACATTGCCTGGGATCTGTCTCAAACACAAATACACCAATAAACCTTCAGCATGGAATAAAGACGCATTCAAGGTGAACGGAAACAAAAGTGGACACTGCACGTGTAGTTTGTTCAGACTGGTAGTTTGTTTAGACTGGTTCCCCTTTCAATAGAGTGGTGAGAGAACCTTTCAATACAGTTGTGACGGAAAAGTTGAACAAGATTTCGTTATGATAGTCAGCATCAAATTTGGTCCCAAAAAGATGTCAAATGATAATACATTTCCTGACGCTACTTGGAAAAACATGTCCAAAATACATTTGCTTAGTCTCTTCAAATCAGCCACTTTCCTCAGTTTACAACAAAAGTTTCTGCTGTCACAATAGTTACACGTCGGTCCTCCAACTCCTCTAGAGAGACATTGATATCCTGACAAGCAAATGCATTCCACTTTACATGAAAGAGATTTGCAGAGAAGTCTTTACTCACAGCCTTCGATGATATCGGTGATGTTAAGTTGAAGTGACGGCAAAATACGATTGTACATCTTGTACTCTTTGCCAAATCGGGGCATTTGAACGATCAAGCACGACGGCACCTGCAACAGGAATACGGAATAAATCCCATGTACTTCCAAACTTTGTAGAATTTAAGATACATGTACGACAACGTGACAAAGTGAATGGTGGACTTACTTCAACCAGCTTGAGATCGTGTTCCTGAAATGACTGCAACAGCAGCTGCTCTACTGTTGGTAGTGTGAAAGATTCATCCCTGTCCAGGAATATCTGATAGATGTTGGACTCATCTATTTCTTTGTTACCACCGTGCCTGAAGGGGAGAGAGAAATGTTGAAGCAATGAATCAAGGGACAGTGGTTGCTATGGCAACCATTATTGTCAAGACCTGTCCTTGTCATCTTAGTCATTATCATATTCTTGGTCATCATGATTGTTTTAGGACATCACTATCAAACTCGTTATTCTCACGATAACAGTTGACCATCGTCCATCATGACAATTCTGGGTACAATTTCGACAAGTCACCTGATCTTTAGCTGAGGTCTTGACTTGAAGACCTCTGACAGTAGGGTATGGAGGAATTCTTCAGGGTCTTTCTCTTCATTCATCAGACCTTTGGTGGTGCCCAGATGATCCAGATGCTCCCTGAGCTCAAGAATGCGATCTGCTCGTACAAAGCCATTCCTGTTCCCAAATCAAGCATGAGGAAGTCACTGTTACTTGCCCAGATTACTTTGCAAAGAATCATACCACTAAATCCTCTACTGTGCAAGAAACCAACGGCGCATTCCTTGTCTACTTAAGCTTTCAAGGGGTAACAAGCCCTGTGTACATCAGTACTGGATGGGCTCTTCCTTTTTTAATCCTACAATGTCTTCATTTTGAAGGATTAGGGATTTGGAAGGATCTTGGGAAAATTCAGATGAATGTTTTATATCTCTGGGTGCCCATGACAGACCTAGGCATCAATTCTTTTCTTCAATGACAGGTGTGTTATCAATCCCAAGCTGCTCTACCCTCCCTACACAAATCAGACGACTTACTTCCTCAAGGGATTGACGATGCTTTCCCTAAGCGTCTTTTGGACCTTTTCATATTCCTGTAGGTCATCTTGCCCCTGAGTGCGGCGCAGGAGTGGATCAAACACGCTGTTGTAAGCAAACATGCTGAAGAGAGTCGAGTCCAGGTAGCACGAGTTCTGGTCTCCTTGGATGCCCTTCGGCATTCCCAAAAAGGCTGACTCAAGACGAGGAGGAGGATCGACAAAACCCTCAACCACGGGAGACGAATAGCCACCGAAATCTGTCCATTTGCAAAAAAACAATTTTCAGTTGCATATACCAATCAAAAGAAATGAGAGAAAAGTACAACTTCTTGGTATCCGATAAACAGCTACAAAATAATGCTAGAGTTGAGACCCTCACAAGACCAACACAAGACCGGTCACAATTAACAAGGTGAACAATGATAAAAGAATGTTTTTGTCAAAGTTCATTTGACTAGCTTGTGATCTAAATTCCAACTGGAGGTCTTGTCGGGTCTTGTGTAGGCCCTATTAGGTCTTGATGACAAAATTGCCATAAAGTGATGTTGAAGGGACTGAATGGACCTGCTTGTAGCTGCTCACATGACCTCTGACCCAGGATCATTTCATTTACATATCCAGGCATGCTACGTTACGGAAGTTTACTCAAGACTCATCAGGTCCATCGCTTAAATGGAAGGCAGCCTTCACTTTGAAACCATTTCTTTAGCAAACACAGGTTACCAGCTCACATGTTATGCCATGTATACTGCCAATGACTGGTTCCCTGCCGATTTCTGCGTGTTAGCTCTTGGCAACAGGGCCTTGGCAGCCTTCATGAGGAAGGACACATACCTTCGCTTGTCTGACGCTTTGCTGAACTGAACGTCTGAGCCATGGTTGGAAAGCGGGAATCGTGTTTGCACTGGGACAGGTAGACAAAGATGGCTTTCCTGGGCTCACACTTGAAGTATCGCTGCTTGTTGAATGTGCCGTCTGTTGCTCCTTGTGAAATCGGGGATTCCTGTTTTATTTTGAAAAAATAACCAAACACAAACTCTGAAGTAACAGTCCTTACAAATCAACACAAAGCATATACATTTAGAGGTTTATAATGAATGAAAACAGTCAAAAGTCTTTGGGATGCTTTTAGGAGAGTTACATAGTATTGAACAGTTACAAGGAACTTCAAAGTTACAGTGGACAACACAGCAACATGTCCGCACAGAAATTGAAATCTTCTTTATAATCATTAGCAACTGTTTGTGCTGGAGTTTTCACCCAAAACATTACAGCGCAAAAGATTGGAATCTGATGTATGCAAGTTGCAGATGTAGATTTCAAGGAATCAAGAAAGATTCAATACATGGGTCCTTGAATGTTGAACCTAAAATAGGGGAAAGATGGTTCCTGTGCCTACCAGTTCGATGCCGGCAATCTTGCGGTTAGTCTTGCTACCCATTGGCACACCGATCCATCGGATGACACCATAATGGGTCTTGTCAGAAGGCTTGACCTCAACCATGGAGTTGACGTCTAGATCGGGGTCGATTTCCTCAGGAGGTTCCTCGGTGTGGAAAGAGGGGAAAGCGATGCTGGTATCCGGTGGTAGCTGCTTCATTTGGGAATCCTCAACTTTCTCCTCAGCAGCTGGGAAAAAAAAAACAAAGAGAAAGATTGAGATGGTGGATTGAAACACTACCAGTACGCCACAAAGTATGCATCACATGATGTATTTACTGCATAGCAATAAAAACGTTAAACAGTAACCTAGGCAACACTGGAGGAACAACTCTTTCTAAGAATCCTCCAGATTTGTGATCAAAGTAATGTGGCTTGCTTACAAACACAAACATCAAGATCTCCTGCCATTACAATCATGGAATTCCTCCTGATGCTAACAAAAAAAAGACAATGTGATTGCCACACTAATTAAAAACCAGGGCTAAGTGTTGTTGCTACAATGTAATTCTAAAGCCCCCAAAACATAAGATACGGCATTTGTCTGGTCGGAATGCAGAAAAAGATCCCCCTTGGGAGAAAACTTAGAAAAACTGATTGCAGGACTGCAAGGCCCAACCACATTCCATAGTCATACCTCAATTTCATTACACACTGATGATTCATAACTCACTCACTCTATGAATCTAATCATGCACGCTACATGTACGTCGCTCCAAATTTAGAACCCAGCTGTTGGACCTGTACAGTTACTATTCAAGACTGTGATACGTCCACAGAGGGACATTTAAAGTACTGTCTTAAAAGCTAAATATCCTCACAGAAAGTAAAAGAAAACCATGAAAATCATGGCAACGACAAATGTAGTACACATTTTTTGTATCGCTTTTAGTCAGTTGCTTTCTACATGACAAAAAAGAAAACTCACTCTTTGCTCCAAATCTGTGAATATTTTTACCATACACAAAAACTTTCACATGTGTGGACTACAGGTAGGTGCAAGGTTTCCAATTGCACAAGGTTGAACACTCAGTCTCATTCAAATATCTTGGGCAAACGGACTTGACAGAAACCAAGCAAAGGTCAAGAGAAGTATTTCTGGTTACCAACATGGCAAAAATGTTGGCCAAGATATTTCTCACTGAAACACTCCTCCTATCACTAGGTACTTCCCCATACTGTGTGTAATCAGTAAATATCGAAATGTAACCAACAGTTGAGGAATCTCAATCAACCCTGACATCAAATATTGGAATTGGAGGGTAGAAGACTTTGGGGTTGACCTTTGAAATGACCATGCAATCATGCAATAATAACAGCTTCTATGGATCAGTAGAGTTCCATGAATTTTTGAAGTTTTCCAGTCAACTCTGCAGTCTAACATTCCCACCATAAAAGAGAAAAGTAAAAACCAACCAAACGGTGAAATGTTCCATTTACATGTCTGAGTGATCATTGTAAACTAATCAAAGTTTTAGTCATTTGATTAATCGGGTCGGTCATTGTCACAGAAAACTACAAGATTTACACTTGACTCCAAAAAGTTCAAGACTCTAAAAGTTTTAGAGTTATTTCAAGTGCCAGAAGGACTAACTCATCACCAAATTTCACATTTGCAACAATGAGGATTAAGTACTTACATACACCAGACACAAGATACTGCACTACAGTATGCAACCAAGGCCTCTTCCTGTCGCTGGTTAACATCCTCAACAACGATTACTCACTTCAATCCACAACTTCTTTCCACTACAATTCTATATACCGGTATTGTCCAGGCAGCTCAATGAATATTCAGAGTAAATTCTTTTGACGTATTTCACAAGAAAATCAAAAGTGCCTCCTGGCAGGCCAAGGTATTGCTTCAAGTAAGAGACGAATGCGATAGTAAAAACAAACGTGATATTGCGTTAATTGTTATTCTGAACACGTTGCATCAGAGAGGATATTCCTTTCCTGTTGGTACATGTATCGCTTTTGATTCGCTTCATAAAAGGAAAAAGCCATCATACCACAACTAACGACACGACCTGCACAAACAATACCCCGTCACCATGGATACAACAGGAAGTTGTTGGAAATATGGCACATCACTTTCAAGTACGTCACAACTGATGATTGTTCTCTGACTTTATACATAATCACATGACCATAGTGATTCATGCTTGTGATGACTGAAGTATTTCACACTAATTATAAACCCTCAATTAGGAATGGATATTTTTACATTCTCAGGAGTTTTCCTTCATAATTGACAGAACCATACTGACCAGCATCTTCCATTATTAAACTCTCGCGACTGAACTCAAGTAAAAAGCCATCCCTGATCTGCTAGCAGAAGATCTCAAGAAAGTTTGTTTCATAATTGATTGACCAACATACATAACCTACGCTGAATTTACATTAATTTCATTTGTGCAGAACAAAGTGAAAGGGAAACACGTAGCTGAATCTGATGGTCTTTTTCAAAACATGAAGCAACAGTAAAAAGAAAACAGAAACATTCCCCAATTTTTACTGAATTTACATGTATGACCACAATTAAATAGAATGTATGTGTCAATTAAAGCCCTAAATTACATCAGTACTTGCAAACTTGTCTGATTTATTTCTAAATGTTTCACATACCAGTGCCACAAGTTTTACTGGGTCCAGCCTTCATCATTACTTCACAGTGCAAACAATGGATGCATGACAGTTTTAACTTCATCATACAAGTGCAAAAGTGTCCGCTGGATAGTTAGCCAAAGCTCTTGGTCATTGGACTGTGATCCAGCAACTAACTGCCCCTGTCCAGCTACCCCTTCCATTTTTATCCATCTTGTTCAACCACCCAAATCTCTGAGACATTCAGGGTTTTCCCAACAATCTATACCTGGTTTAATTCTCCCCATCAGAGACATTTTCTGAATTAAATTGTAGGGGCATAACGGGCCGAGAAATTTCTACAGTAATTTGTGTGGGGGCAATGTGGGTGGATGACATTCGTTCTGCAATAACGTGGGATGCTGGCACACCGCTGGAAAATCCTTTATTATGTGTCTGCATGTAATGTACATGTATATGTACAGACTTGAACGTGAATACCTGGAAATGTACAGTCATTGATGACGATGTCAAGGATTTGACACACACACACATATGGTGGCAGTACATGTACGTGTACACATGTACATGTACAGTACATGCACAGTGCATTCCTACAGTACTGACATCAACTGCGTGATGCAAAGGGCAGGGTCAAACTGGCTGAGTGCACTTTCACAGATCTGAATATGTATGCTGCAAATACTCAAAGCCATATATGATTGGATGCCTTATGATGTACGTAAATAAGAACAATCCTTGGCTAGAGTGAAGCACAGCTGATTGGCTCTGAAAGCAAAGGTCATGAATTATGCAACTTTACTGACTGTGAGTCATGCTTACATGTAGTTATCTGTAAGGTTGGGCAAGCAAAGTTCAGAACAAAATCTGTGTAAGGTGTAAACATCGCACCTCTTAATAACACTGTGTAGGCGTTGGGTATCTCTTTGTAATTTGGCGCTCTAAGTGGGTGGATTTTATTTGGTGTGGGCGAAATTCTGGGCTGAGGTACCCATGAAATGCAGCACAAATTTGATGTAAATCAGAACAACATTGGGCAATAGTCTGAGTTTAGGGGAATGTTTGTTCCTAAAATATGTTTGGTATTGCCAACTTGCCATTATATCATCCATGTCAGTTGATGTGTGAAGGAAATCCTGCAATATTAGGATAACACTGACATTTATCCATCGGACCTGGTTTATGCTCAGTCTAGTTCTCTTTGTTTTGGTGGTTTTAAAAGCAACTGTAAGCATGGTAAGGTAACTAACCACAAAAAACCCCTGATTATTACTAAAAGGAAGTGATGAAAATGTTTTCATCTTTCTGAAGAAAAGTAAATGAACTGTATATGTAAGTTATCAAAACTTGGGAAATATTTTTGACATACCAAATAGAAATTTGGATTTTTTACATTACAAAGTCATTACATGTATTAGTCATTTACAAGAACAGTCATTACCATGAAAATCTTCCATGAACTCAATAAACCTAGGGTACCTGTGTACATGTGCTATGCATTTGAAAAGTTTAAATTGCAAGAAAAACTATCCAGCTTGTGGTATTTACCGTGTTCCTTAGTTCAGTTTCCTGAAACCAAATGTCCTCTTAATAAATTTCTTTATAATGTCTAGTTTCTGTCTACTTTTCTCCACAAAGTTAAAAATTTTGGAAACACCTGTTCGAACCCCTTGGCAATTAGTAGATGGCTTCTCTTATTCACACCTGGAGACCACACACATTCCATGCACATGCCATAAAACCTATCAAGGTGCCTTTCTCTATATATGCGCATTAACACTTGCGCCAAGCACTGCATACCTGTCAAAATCGCTCCCAGGATGTGTTATGTTAGTGGAGTTTATTTTTGTGTTTGTGAAAGTGAAATGCATGAGTGCACTGTGTACAGAACACACCAAAAAAGGTACATATGGACAGGCACCATTACTTTGACCAACCACAAAAATCTATTCTGTAACTAAAAACTATACATATGCCAAAACATAAGGGAATTCCCCACCTTGACAAGTGGGCGGTGCCATGTGTCATTAATGTTCAACTTTTACAAGGTACATGAACATGTACATACTGACCATATACATGTACATGTGACCACTGGTCAATGGCCACAAGTCATTGCTGTGCACTCCCTTGGATTTTATCCACTGACCGTTTGAGGTACAACAACGGATACAAAGAAAGCATGGTAGGTATCACCACACAGGCAAGTCATCATGGGCACAGTGTAATGTACATGTACATGTACATCAGCTAGTCAGAAGTGAAATACATACAGGTCTATGATACATGAATGAAAAAAAGAGCAACCCCGTTATTTCTAAAGAGCAACTCCTTTATTTCCAAAGAGCAATCCTGTTATTTCTAAAGAGCAACCCAACTATTTCTAAAGAGTAACCCATTATTTCTAAAGAGCAACCCAATTATTTCTAAAGAGCACAACCCCTTTGCACAATTGAGACCTGGGCCGTTTTCCAATACTCAACTTCGGCTCCCTCTCAGGCTTCAACTGTTTTTTACTACCTGACTTTGAAGCAGTAAGCGCACTGATTAGTCTAATAGTGCCACAAAACATCAAATAAGATCCGAGAGAGCAAAAAGTTACAGTAATCCAATTTGATTTAAACGCTTCAGGCCCACGATCGGGCATTGGTTTTGGAGACGAAGCCTGAGATGGAGACAAAGTTGAGTTTGGAAAACGGCCCTGCACTGACAGTGCATTATGCATCACTGCCATTGCGCGCAAGCCAGAGTTTCATGTAAACAGCACCAACATGCTTGGTTGTGCTAGCGCCCTCTTGTGGTAAAGCGTGTACACTTATTTTTGCTATGCCACATGCTGTATTTGTTCTGTCTTATGTTTTTCCCTTGAAATATTATGGTCAAATGTTTTGTTCTTTGTTCTTAGTTAAAAACAACCCAACAGGTATAAACAGTCGCTCTAGATTACAGATACCGGTAGTTTGTTCGTTTTGGGGTTTGGGATGTAGTTGTTCTGATCTACAGTACTGTCCGGAATAAATCAATTCAAGTATGTAAATCCCTGCGATCATCCTTTTACAATTTGTGCCTCCGTCTTTCGACAGACGAACCCGCCACAGAATTTGAACCTTGAAATGAAGCAAAGAAACAAAGGACTTACCCTCTACTGCCTTCATGATGTCATCAATCAGAGCAGAGTGACCTCCAACATGAGCCAGGACTTGCAGAAGTTCCTCAATGCTGCGTTCTCCTCCATCTCCGCGACGCTTCCAGCAATCCAAAAGTTGGAAAACCCTTTGTTCATTTGTCAGGTAGTACATCTCAATTTCAACCTCTTCCTCAGAAGGAATATCAAGGACTTTACACAGCTGAGCAAAGTTAACCTTCTTGGAGACTCTCACAAGGACATCTCGATTAACATAGAGTACGGGGTGACCTTTATTTCCAACCAAACAAAAAAAAAACAAATGACAAAAATAACAGAGACAAAACATGTTACAAAAAGCACATCAAACTTGAACTGGCTGTCATTAAATGGATTCCTTCAGTTCTTATCTTTATATGGTAGTTAGAAGTCTATACACGTAAAAATAACAACATTTTGGAGTAACTTTGATCAAATTAATGTTGAAACTCCACTCTGCATCAGAATCAAACATACTTTAGGATGATTGATACAAATAAAAATTTCACACCATTTTATAATCAATAACAATTTTGACTTGATACTTTGATTACCCGAGAGACACCAATCCTGACGGTTTTGTGGAGACCCACATCCACCATTATGCAGGAACTCATCAATGACCATGTTCATCAATTCATACACTTCTTGTACATTTTGCAAGGATTTTAAAGCTTCCTGGTGAATTTAAGTCATTTATTTGACAAAAAAAAGCACATCACATCAAATGTAGAACCAATTTTGGCATCGGGAGGTTCACAGCATAAATTTATATGGATTTCACACACAAATAGTACACAACACTTTGATGATGTCAACATATTTTAAGGTTAAACACATGCAGATATATGAGCTGGTTTTACCAAGACAAAAATAAAGTGTTATGTACATGTCATTTTATCTTTAAACTTATTGAAAAGACAGTTGATAGCAAAGATACTTTAGAATACAGACAGTCTATCAAGGCTCACCTTTGTCGTTAGGATATTCAGGATATTCTTCTGTCTTGGCACTTGCAGCATTCTTTCTAGAAAGCTCCACTTTATGTTTGTCTTCCTCAAACGATTCAGCAACTTGACCCAAACCACTTGCTCTCAGTGCTTCCATGAGAAACATAAATCGATCCTTGGTGTAGTCATGGCGTTCCCTCCATTTATTCAGCATGTTGATGATGGAAATAACTTCAGAACCCTTTGTATCACTGAGTTCTTTGATTTCCTCTTCAGAGAATCCCAAATGCAAGGCAACGACGTCCCATACATCTCCAATCAGAGTAGCCAGCTTATACAGCATTTCATCATCAACTCCTGATACATCACAGAAACAAAAAAAAAACAAGGTTATAGTCTACCAATACAAGTTAGGGTTAAGAAGTTCAACAGACTCAAAATCAGGAACATAGGGTGACCACATTGGAATAAATCTCTGTTAAGGTGGCAATTACAACTGTAACAAGAGTTGAGATAACGACCTCTGTGTGTGGCCTCATTAGAGTAGACACACTTTAGTAGACCAGTTAGACATGAAGAAGTAGACAAAGGATGTGCAGCAAATGGAAACAGAGTGTCACAACATGATATAGAATAAGCCTAAACTGGGTCAGAATGGGTCCTTGTTAAAACCAACAAGGAGCAACACCACAACCAAGTATATTGGAGGGCTGGCAGTTGGGGAAAAAGTTCAGATAATTAGGATTTGAGGATACATGGGTATGATGTTGGCTTTTGGCCAACTAGATAGATTCTCAGATATATTAAATTGTAGAAACCTTGGGTTTTGAAGTTGTAAAAACAATAAAGGAAAACTTAACAGTACTACTTGGAACATAAATTATTTGCACAAAGAGACTACTGGTTCTGGTGACACAAAAAATGGAAAAGAAACCAGAGAGAAAAATATCAAGAACAATTCAGTGAGTTCAAAATTCAGTTCAAAATGATAACAAGAACACTTGGGTTTACCTTGCACCAGGTCACTGGCTAGATCAGGAAGTCCACTCTCTCGAAGTCCTTTGGACAAAGCTCCGAGAACGTCCACACTGCGCGGCTGTTTTCGCCTCCACAGCATCAACATCTGATAGGGCTGCTTGTCTTGTGAAAAGCACTCCAAGTTATGAATGTCCTTGAGGTCTAACCTTAGTGTTGTGGCAAGAATTTTCCAGCTGTGGCCGATCTGGACGGCAAATGAGAGCATAATCTCATCGTCCAGACCTACAAGAGAAAAATGACAGAGGAAAGCACTTAAATAGACACTGTGCAACCTGTCAATCAATCTGCTACATGTGTATGCTACATGCGTTTCAAAAGAAGATGTAGAAACCAGACGATTTTACATGAAACAGAGATGGTAGTCCAAGAGTATTTCAGTATTTATCACAACCGTTTGACCATATCTTTGAAAATCTTCACTGAAGTGAGTTTAATGGATGATATTTGAATAATTTTGTGCAACGTTATTTTCTATCGTGACATAATCTATGGCTGAGTTTACTGATGATTTCTGAGATTCTCTCAATATACTTGGTGAATAAAATCTCACATATTGGCATTTTTGTTTTTTCTTACGACAGCACATCTAACATACTGGCAAAATGCCTGTGAACCATTTTCAATTAAAAACCTAATAAATCAGCTGTTCTCTGGTAATTTTGAAAAAGATTTGCAGTTCCAGGGTTTCATATCTTACAAATGATTTGTGAGATAAATGCAACGTGAGATCATACAAAAGAAAAAAAGCAGTTTAAAAAAATTCAGAACATCCAAATTCATGTTTATCATCTGAAAACTGTACTTCAGATGGCTAAGAAGGATCTGTATGTCCTGTCTCAAAAAGAGTTTCTTACCTCTTGCTACCTCAAGTTCTAGCTGTCTGAGTCCACAGTAATGTAAGGCGTTACTTAGCAACATGATCTTGTCTGAGTTGTGTGACTGTCTGGTCCTCCATTGGGCCAACATCAATCGAACGAATGGCACAGTATCTGAGGCCTTGTCCTCAATTCTTTCCAACTCGGCATCAGAAAAATTCAAAAACGTTCCTAATGGTCTGGCCTTATGTGTGGGGATGTTACTGGCTATCTTCATCAGCATGTCTTCATCCAAGCCTGTTCAGGCAACAAATTTATCACTCTTATGTCGGAACACTTCAATGCTTGCATCAACAGTTGTCACAACGTGTAATATAACCAAAGATGTAGATCCAATTGTAGCACAGATATACACATAGTTTGCATTTTCTTGACCCTTATAATAGTGTCCATGAAACTTCCTTTGACACCAAATAGAATCATTTGTGACCTGCTCGATAGAAATGAGTCATAAGGCCATTTTTTCAGTCATTTTATTTCCATTTCTATTAGAAAGAGCAAGCTTAGCTCATTTTGACATCCCGAGGAAAATGGACATTGTGTGGGTGAAATGCATTGACAGTTGCTGGTCCTAGGTTTTGCAGTTTAGACCCAAACGGCCTTTCTTTCACGCCCTAGCTTTGAGTATCAACTTATGTGCAACAAGGTTGTTAAATAGTGGCACACTCAGTCGAGTTTCCCGCTCAAAAACCCTTAAACTTTAGGCATAATTACCTTGCTCCAAGTCATCGGCAAGTTTAATGAAGCCATTAGCCCGACATGCTGCAGCCAATCGGGAGATCTTATCATAACCAATTTTCCTCTTCTGCCAAACTCTCAACATCTCCTCAGCGCGGTCTCTCGATGTTCCCCTTTTGGAAGCAATCCCATAAATTTCATCATTCGACAGGTACAAAGAGTGGGCAATCTTCTCCCAGTCTTTGGAAACTGTGTCTAGAACTTCTTGAACCACATCATCTTCAAGACAATCTGCCGCTCCGGGCCCTGCAGAAACCAAAGATAAACCTGTTTTTTAGGACATAATTGACAATAATGGAACCATTGCAACTACAGTTCACAACTTATTATCTAAGACAATCTCAACTGGTTATTGAATCCTCCAACTTGTCATAATATACCATGGTTTCCATAAATAAACACCTTCTTATCAAATAAAACTTACATTCTCTTTAAAAAATGAGGTGTTCAGTTCCGACCAGAGTTGTAGTAGAGTACTTTTGCCCTGAGTACTAAGTACTGCCAAGTATTTATATTTCAGAGTGCATGAAAGTCCGAGTACTTTTCCAGCCGAGAACAAGTCCTGGTTTTCAAGCACAAGCACCTGTCCCTCTGAGTACGAGTACTTCAAATACTCAAAACAAACAAGCTGTCTGCACCATGGCATTAGTTTTCAATTTTTAAACATTCTCAGTGTTCTTTTAAGCTGAACTATACTCCTACCAACACAAATGACCTGATTGTATGATAGCTACGTACATGTATGTCACCAACAGTTTCAAATTCATAGATTCTTCCAAAGCTGATAGTCAACATTAGGGGAGGGGCAGGCAACGTGTGCTTACACATGGCCATGTACAGTACATGAAATGTACACACATACATAACATACACTGATTCACCGTCGGTTACGACATGTATCCAGGTAATTCCAGAAATTAGGGCTCCATTTTTGTGTGTCCCTGTCACATCTGACATATGATTTTGTAAGTTCGGAACAGATTTTCTAATTTCCAAGAGTGATGAATTATTGCAAATTACCTGCCAAACAAATAGTAATAACAAAGGTCACATGTAACAGGGACACAGAAATGTCACACTTTGGGACCCCTAATTTCTGGAATGACCCCTCTGTACTGTGCATGCACAATGGGCATGGTGAAGTCTGCTTTCCAGACTGAACTATTCTTATGCCCATGTTTTTCTATATGCTAGATGGGTCGTCAGAATTTTCAGTTCTAGGCACCAGACTAGCCACACATCTTACGAACACCGTAGTCTTAGG